CAGAGGGGAGATGTGTTAGAGAGTGGTGTGGAGGGGGGCGGAGCAGTGGCGGGGGAGGCATGGACGCGGTGTGTATGTGTGTATGTGTGGGGGGGGGGGGGGGCTTGAGGAGGCGAGGAGGCGGGGCGGAGGAGGCGAGGAGGCGAGGAGGCGCGGCGGGTTGGGTCGACGAGTAGCGGGGCGAGCGTGTGGCAGGCGCGGCAGGGGGCTATAACCCGCACCTCTTGCGTGCAGCGGTGGACGCCCCCGCGAGAGGACCAGCCCTCAGGCGTGTAGTCGGGGTGGCGCTGGAGCCACGCGTCGACCTGCGAGCGGTACCCGTAGTTGACGATCATCTGCGCCGACCGCAGCCGCTCCCCCGTCCCCAGCGGATTGGCCAGCGGCCGCCGGCGCCAAAACTCGACGATCGACGCGCGCTCAAAGGTGTGGCCAGAGACGAGCATGACGGGATCGCGGAAGAGGCAGGCGGAAATGGGACACATCAGGTCCATCGGCTCCACCGGAGCGCTGCTGAGCGGCCCCGGTGCCTCGGGAGCCTCCGCGCCAGCCGCGGCCGGAGCCGCCGCCGCCGCGGTTCCCCGTCCAAACAACCACTGCGCCCAGCCGCTCATGCTGCCGCGCGGGAACAACAGCTGCGCGGGGCCAGGAGACAAATTGCGCAAGGCAAAGGGGGCGAAGAGCGCCGCAGCATAGAGAGGGAATTCTTATTCCTTCGCGGCAACCCGGCTGCGCGATGGCGGCAAGGCCTCGTTGCACGCCCGCCCTCGACACGCCGAAGACCAACCGGCGTCGCAGGGTTCCCGCCGGGTAGGGGCCGGAACTTCTACCTGTCGTCGGATCGCTTTTTGCTTGTTTGTCTTGGGAGAGAGAGATTTTTCCAGTGTATGTAGCTCTTACGTACATTCCCGTAGGAGACTCTGCTGACAGGGTTTGCGATGAGGAGCGACCCGCAGGGTTTCTCGGAGGTTAGTGCACCACTAACCGCCGAAGCGCAAGCGCTGGGAGCAAGACACTACGACCTGGGTCGGGCTCATACTAGCACCCCACCTCGCGAGCCGACGTTCTGTCGTCTGATGTGTCACTGTGTGCGTCACATCGATGTGGATAACAAGCACGGTCGATCCGTCAAAGCGATACACTCGTTCCTATCACATATTCTCCCACCCGCCGGGACGCAAAACGCTCTCGGCGAGAGCCACAAGAAGGCGTCCACACAGCAAGCCGCTCGTCGGACAGGCGTGCTCGCTCGATGCCGGCGAGCGCATTGCGCACGCTTTGGACGGTGGCGAAGCCAAAAACACCGATGGTGGCCGTCCGCTGGCGTGAGCGGCGGCGGTCGAGACCTCACCCTTCGCGCCGACGTCCCAACCTCACGCGGACAACCCAACCCCCAACCAACCCAACCCAACACCAAACAACCCCACTGAAAGCACGATCTCCTGTTGGGCCCTCTAACTTGCGATCCCGACCTTGCGCGACGTGCCTATTAGTGCATTCTACCATTACTCGCACATGGCAAGCATGGGCGACGCCTCAGGCCCCATGCCGGCCATCCAAGATATGCGTGCGCCAAGGGTTTGCTCCACCTTAAATTCTCTTTGCTTCGTGCGACACAGATGGCGGCGGAGGCAGAGACGGCGGCGGCAGAGGCGGCGGCCGCCACCCGCCTCACGCCGCGACCCGCGAGGACAGCAAAGCCCGCCTCGAAGCCGTCCTTGACTGCCTGCGGGACGGGGTGGCGGGCACGTAGTCCCCACAATCGCTGTCGTGGGATCGCTTGCCGTGCGGTTTTCTTATTTGGCGCTCACTTGGCGGACTCGACCACCTCGGGACCATGCACATGCGGCTTTCGCGCAGAGTCGTCAATCCTCACCTACACGCGCGGCACGCGCGTCGGCGCTGCGCTCTCGCCATCGCGCAGCCGACGGCCGAGACGCATGCGCACCTCGTGCGCCCGGGCGAGGTGACGCCGGGCATCGCTGGCGCAGAGTATGCAGCTCGGCGTGCAGCGATGGCGTCGCGGCTGCCTCGGGGCAGCGTCGCCCTCTTCGCGCCGGCGCCGCTGGCCTACATGTCGCACGACGTGCCCTACCCCTTTCAGCAGGCGCCCGACCTGCACTACCTCTGCGGCTTTGCAGAGCCATCCTGCCTGCTCGCCTGCGTGAAGCGCGGCGGCGGAGACGGCGGCAGGTCCTCCGGCAGCGGCGTGGATGCGCCGGACGATGCGGAGTGGCTCCTCTTCGTCGAGCCGTCCGACCCTGCGCAGGCGCGAGGGAGAATCTCCACCGGGAGAGTCGAAGGGGAGAGTTGGGGAGGTTGCACGGCCAGGAGCCTTGCTAGCAGCAGGAGCCTGGCGTGCAGCGAGCCACGCCTCTGGGACACCAAATCTGGGACACACAGTCACCTCGCGGCTGCTTCTCCGACGGCCCAGACCCTCCCCCCTCTCCTCTCCTCCTCTCCTCCCGCAGGCGCTGTGGGACGGACCCCGCGCCGGCATCGACGGCGCCAGGCGGCACATCCTACCCGACGGCGAGGTGCTCAAGATCGGCGCCGCCCCCACCGCCCTCCTCCGCATCCTCGACGCGATGGATGCCAGTCGCGGAGATACGGCCATACGCCCCGGCCTCCTCTTCGACGTCGACCGAAACCCGCAACTCACCGCAGCGCTGCGGCCGGTGAAACAGCAGCACCACCCGCCCGCCAGCCCGCCAGCACAGCTCCGCCAGCACAGCTCCGCCACAGCCGTCCTCCACCACCATCGCTGCCCATCGCCAACGCTGCGCCACCGCCGCCGCCGCCGCCGCCGCTTACCGCCGCCGCCCGCCGCACAGCCGCACAGCCGCACCCGCACTCCTCCCTCCCCCCCAGGTGCTGGAGTGGTGCAAGGAGCGGCAGCTGCGCGTGACGCGCGCCGCGGCGCACGTGCAGCCCCTCCGCCTCCTCAAGTCGGACGCTGAGGCCGCCCTGATGGCGCGCGCGGCAGACGCGACGGCGGAGGCGTTTCTCGAGACGATGGCGGCGTCGGCGGCGGCGGCGGCGAGGGGCGGCGCAACCGAGGCGCTGCTCGCGGCGCGGTTCGAGTACGAGACGAGGCTGCGCGGCTGCGGGCGGCTCGCCTACCCGTGCGTTGTCGCCTCGGGGGTGCGCGCGTGCACGCTGCACTACATGCACAACAATGCGCTGCTGTCGCCAGGTGAGCTGCTGCTGGCCGACGCGGGCAACCTCGGGCAACCTCGGGCAACCTCGGGCGACCTCGGGCAACCTCGGGCGACCTCGGGCAACCTCGGGCGACCTCGGGCAACCTCGGGCGACCTCGGGCAACCTCGGGCAGGCGACCTCCTTCTGATGGACGCGGGAGGCTCCTTCGGCGGGTACTCCGCCGACATCACCCGCACGTGGCCCTTGTCGGGCACTTTCACGCCCGAGCAGAGAGACGTCTACTCGGCCGTGCTGAGCGTGAACGAGGCTTGCATCGCCGCAGCAAAGGGGGACGGAGGCACGTCGATCGCGTCGCTGCACCACCTCTCCCTCCGGCTCACGCACGAGGCTGGCGGTAGCAGCAGCGGCAGTAGCAGCGAGCAGCTTCTTGCCTCTCCCTCGGCCTCACGCAGAGATATATATCTCCCTCGAGATGTATATCTCCCTCGGCCTCACGCAGAGATACAGATCTCCCTCGAGATGTAGATCTCCCTCGGGCTCACGCAGAGATACAGCCGAGAGGCAGCCGAGGAGGTACCCCGGCTGCACCTCCCCCCCCCCCCCCACCCCCCCAGGCGCTCGTGCAGCTGGGCATTCTCGGCGCATCGCGAGGTTCACGCCCGTGGAGAGTGCCGTCTCACACCGCCCGCCGCGAGTAGGCGTCCTCGGCCCCGGCGAGGCGCACCGCGTCTCGCGCTACTACCCGCACAACATAGGCCACGCCACCCACCTCTCCCCTCGCTACTACCGCACCACTCGTCTCGTCTCGTCTCGTCTCGCCCCGCCCCGCCCCCCGCCCCGCCCCCGCCCACTCTCAGCGCTCCGCGCAGGCCACTACTTGGGCCTCGACGTGCACGACACGCCGCTCGCGTCGCAGTCGCAGCCACTGCTGCCTGGCATGGCGCCGCACCCACTCGAGCGGTTCGGCGGCCTCGTCTGCCTCAGTCTCCTCACGCGGCCGCCCCTCTCTGGCCCCAGGCGCTGACTGTGGAGCCGGGGCTGTACTTCCCACCCGACGACCCGCAGCTGCCGGCGTGGTGCCGCGGCATCGGCGTGCGCATCGAGGACGACATCGTCATCGGCAGCGACGGCGCCGCGCGTGTACTGACGACGCGCGCGCCGAAGGCGGTGGCGGAGGTGGAGGAGGCGGTGAGGAGAGGGCTCTAGCTATTCGGGCGGCGGTAGGGAAGACACCTGGTGAGCGCGCCTTAGACGGTCAACGGACCTTAACGTACACTGTGTGGTGTGGGGCTCTGTGTGCACGCGTATCTCTAGAGTCCTACTACTGCTGCTGCGCGGCTGTGGGCGCTGGGCCACGCCGGAACCGGACCGGGGACCGCGGGGGGGCGGGGGGGCACTCCAGACTCCACCCCCGAGCGCGAGGGCTCGGGGTCGGGCGCGGCGCTCGGGCCGCCGCGCGCGCAGGAGCACTGGCAGCACGCGCAGGGGTGCAGCCTTGCATATACCAGTTACCACACGTCGTGTCATGCGTCGTACTATTTCCAAACTGTGCGAAGGTCTCAGCCCTCGCGACACCACTCTTGCGACACCCCCGCCACCACGGCGCCTCGACTCTCTCTGCTCACACAGCTCTCACCGCTCTCATTATGCAACGCGTAGAGTCTCACTAGAGTACAAAGTTCTCACATCACAGGGAGACCCGCGCCAAGCAGAGCCGAGCCGAGGAATCCGCCCTCGGGCGCGCCCCGCTTGGTTCCTGTCTGCTCGACCTGCCGCTCGAGCGCCTCCGCGAGGCCGTCGGGCTGCGACTTGTCGACGAAGACCTCGATCGTCGAGGCGGGCACGATGCCGAGCGCGCCGACGGTGGTCTCTGCGTCTCTGTCGGTGAAGTCGAGGCCGTCGAACACCAGCCGCTGCTGGGAGGGGGTCGCCTCGGTCGCCTGGTAGATGAGCAGCTTTAGCGAGTTGAGCGTCGTGCCGCTGCCAACCTTGACGACAGAGCGCGGCCCGTTGCGGCAGACGCGGCGCGGCCGCCCTGTGCTCAGGCCGGCAGCCGAGGCGGCGGCGGCGGCCTCGCCCGCGGCGACCGCCTCATCGCGGCTCTTTGCGGCGCCGGCGGGCTCGGTGCGGAGCGTGAGATGGACCTCGGCGTCCTCGAAGTCGGCCAACGCGGCTCGCTCCTTCGCCTCGGCCGCCTCGCAGCAGCCGGCGCAGAGCAGCGTGCCGGGGGCGAGCGTGGGCGGGTCGTCGCCGCCCGCCGTGAGAGCGACGAGCTCGAGCTCCTCCGGAGGGGCGCCCGCCGCCAGCGCGCCACAGAGCACCTCCACCTCGGCCGCCGTCGCGAGGCAGCAGCGCGTGGCGAGCCGCTCCGAGACGGCGCGCTCGGCGGCGCTGGCGCCGCGGGAGGGGCGCCACCGCGCGTGTGCGTGCCCCGGCCGCACCTCGACACAGCCGTGTGCCTGGCGAGGCGACGAGCGAGGGGCGGGTTAGGAGAGCTGGAGGAGCGAAGCCTGCCGCCGCTCCTCCCGCCGCGCGCCTCGCAGCGCAGCCCCGCGGAGGAGGGAGGGCCTGGGTGGAGCTGCGTCTGCGTCTGCGAGACGAGGAGGACGCGTGACGGCGGCGAGTCGCGCGGCACGGGCTGCTGCGGCCGCGCCTTTGCGAGAAGGAAGCGCCGCCACTCCTGCACCCACGCCGCGTCGAGCAAGTAGAGCGGCGACCCCGCCGACAGCACCTCAGCAGGCAGCTCCTCCTCGGCCAGCAGCCGGCCTGGGGGGGGAGGGCAGGCGGGTCTCAAGCCTTTGACGCGAGTCGCACCATTCTCTGCACCGGAACGGACCGAGCTGCTGCCGCTGCGCCGCGCGGAGCGCCGCGTTGCCCTTGGCTCCCTCGAGCAGCGACCTTCGCTCGGCGGAGCAGGCGGCGCACGCGCTAGTGCTCTCGCGCGGCAGCGGCGTCGAGTCGGGGAAGAGGGCCTGCGGGGAGATATGGGGAGACATGGGGAGATACGGCGTCGAGTCGGGGAAGAGGGCCTGCGGGGAGATATGGGGAGACATGGGGAGATACGGCGTCGAGTCGGGGAAGAGGGCCTGCGGGGAGGGCTCGAGAAGGCGCTGGGAGGAGACAGTTTCTCGCGCGGCAGCCTCCTCGGGGGCGGGGCACGCCTCTGTGTGCGACCATGCGGCCGCAGAGATGCATCTCGCCCCGTCCACCAGCCAGCCGCCGTGCTTGCAGCGCAGCTCGCCCGTCGCGTCCGCGACCCCCTCGTTGCGCCACTTTGCCCACTTTGCGCGGAAGGCCTTCGGCACGAGGAACGCCTCCTCCTCCTCGCTGGGCGGGCTCGAGAGCGCCTGGCGGCAACCACGGCATAACTCTCTCTTCGCATGCAGCAACCACGGCGACCTCGCCGCCATACCGTGCGCACGCCTCGAGCCTCGCCGGCAGAGTGGGCCTGGTTTGCCTCGGTCTCTCGGCTCTCTCGGCTACGCGTCGCCTGGCCAAGCGCCTCCTTGAGCTGCGCGGTGCGGTCGGCGGTGCGGCGCGTGCGCAGAGCGGCGCGCACGCAGACGGCGCACCCCGCAGTGTCGAGCTCTGGCCCGCCGCCAAACCGCTCCACCTACGCGTGTATCGCCGGGGCGGCTCAGCCGCAGTCGGCGTGCCCTGCCCCGCTGCCACAGCGCCTCACCATCCGCCGCCAGGCCGCCGGAGAGACGAGTCGCATCTCGCCGAGCTTGGCCGGGTCGGCCTTGCCGTGCTCGCACCGGATCTCGCCGTTCGGGACCGGGCCGACCTCCGCCTCGCGCAGCAGCGCGAGGGAGGAGCGCAGCCACGAGGCGGGCACCCACCTCGCGTCGGGGAGCGAGCGGGCGGCCGGGGACGCGGCCTGGAGCAGCGGCGAGAGGGCGGCGAGGTACTCGTCGCGGCTCCTCACCTTGGCCTCCACCGCGGCGACGTCGTCGTCGTACTGCCTCGCGCGCGCCCGCAGCGCCGCGTTGGCTTCGCGCAGCGCCGAGAGCACCGCCTGCGGCGCCTGCGGCGGGCCGGCGGCCCTCGCCTCGTCGAGCTCGGAGCGGCGCGTGTACTGGAGCATGTACGCCGTCTTCGAGGCGAAGAGCCGCCCCCCGCCCGCTGCGGACCGCCTGAGGAGAGTGACGCCGCTCTGCCGCGCCGCGCCGCTCGGCTCGCCCCACCCCTCCTCGCTGACGCACTCGTCGTTGCAGCTCCACCACCGCCCTGCGGACCGCGGACCGTCGCCGCGCTGCCCGTCGCCGTACGGGTCGCGGATCCGCGCCGTGTAGTGGCCCGACGAGGCGGACGGCCCCGTGTGCATCAGCACCGCAGTGAGCAGGTAGGTGCCGGCCGCCTGCTCCCCCGCCTGCTCCCCCGCCTCCTCCCCCACCTGCTCCCCCGCCCCGCCCCCCCCCGCGAGTGGGGACCCCTCCCCGAGCAGCCCACCAGAGATGCTCAGCTCCTCGGGGAACTCGACCGGGGAGTGCACCTGCAGCGGCGGGCGGCGGATCACCGCTCCTGCACGCCTTGCTGCTCGCGCGCCTCCACCCGAGGGCTAGGGAGGGCGCTGCAGCTCTCGGTGTGCAGGCTAAGGTGTGCAGGCTCGCCTTCTTCTTCCCCCCGGTGGACATGTCGTACACGAAGCGGAGCAGCTGCAGCGACAGGACGGGAGGGAGGGAGGCGAGGCAGATGTTGCGTGTCGCATTCTGCCTGGAGGAGCAGTGGCCGCACTCGACCCCCTCGAGCTCCTCCTTGCAGACGTACTCGAGCAGGCTCTCCTGCAGCGCCGTGCCGCCGCTCGGCTTGAGGCGGAGCTCGAGCTCGTAGAGGGGGTGGCGCGTCGCCGAGGAGGCGAAGGGCCGCTCGCAGCGCGCGCAGACGGTGCGGTAGCACGACTCGCCTGGTCGGGAGCGTGGTGACAGGTCTCGACTCCAGGTGACAGGTCTCGACTCCAGGTGCGGTGGCCTCGAGGTTGGTGCCGCGAGGCGCGGGGGCTCGCCTCGGAAGGTGCTTTGGACGAGGGACTGCAGCGCGGGCTCGGGCGAGCGGCGCAGGTGCGTCTCGATCAGAGAGAGCAGCAGCTTGTTGAACTCCTGCGCGTCCTGCTGCACGCTCGTGTCGAGCGAGAGCGCGTCCGTCAGCGCAGTGGGGTCGTACGACGTGGCCTCGGAATGGTGCAGAGCCACAAAGAGCCGCTGCAGCTCGAAGCAGACGTTGTCAGCGATCGCCGCGGCCGGCTGCGCGGCCGAGGCTGCCTCGCCGTCCGCCTCTGCAGCTGCAGTGCTGCTCCAAGAGTAGATGCCGGCCCGGAAGGCGTGCGTCATGAAGAGGCTCTGGACGAGCGAGTTCATGTAGCAGGTCGCGCCCAGGTTGCGCAGCCCAGTCCTCTGTCCGTCTGGGCGCAGCTCGTCGTTGGGGTTTGCACCGAGCGCCTTGCGCGTTGCCGTCTCCTCCGACTTGGCCAGCCGCTTGGCTGCAGTTAGAATTGGGCCGAGATCAAGAGGCGACGCCTGCTTCTGGCGCTTTGCGCCGGACGATGGCGGGCGGAGGTAGACAGACGCCACGTCTGCTGCGCTAATCGGCTGGTCCATCCCGTCGCCACAGCGCTCCTGCGCCGGAGGAAGAAAAACGGTGCGAGATTTCATAGCAACCCTTTTCCTGGCTCACACAGGCTAAAGATGTTCACGGGCCGCCCTCACACGGAGCCCCGGGTACTCTTTCTTTGGAGAGAGAGAGTGCTCTTTAGCCTATGGTTTAGCTGTATGTACTCGTCTAGCTCTAGGACGGGGTTGGTTTCCGAGCAGAACAGCAGAGTGCGACTGTGAGGGGGCCTTGGTGTTCGAAGTGGCAGCGATCGGCAGTCTCTGGCGGCCGTCGTCGTGTTCTCTCTAGAGGCGCGAGAAAAACTGTGCAATCACAAACGTCGGTTTCGCCGGGTTTGGTCGCGCGACGGCGACTGATCAGCTGTGACTTTGCCGGGGCCGTGCTCTCGCTCTCTCTCTCTCTCTCTCTCTCTCTCTCCCCCTGTCTCGCGCGCAAGCTAAGCAACATACGAGCGAGGCGAGCTCGTGAGACTCTCCAGCCCCTGGAGCGCGCGCCACCTCACAGGATCAAAGAGTCTCTCGCATGACCAAAGAAGAGCCCTGCCCCTCGCACGACTCGCTCGATGAGCGCACGCTCAAGCACCCTTCGCTGCGAGAGCAGCCACAGGACCAGTAGCCGTGAAAGCTGCCGGATGCGCGCGCGGCCGAGCCATCGGCGCAAATGCGCCCCGTGACGCGACCACGAGAAAATCAGCTGCAGGCCACGCGCCACTGGCGTGCCCACAATCTCGTAGAGCACAATTACCTCGCTCGGCGTCCCTGGCTCCAGCCTCCAGTTGCGAGGCCATGCGACAACCTGCTCCAGCAGGGTCACGAGAGCTGGTCTGCGCTCGTCGACAGGTGTCAAGCGGTCCATGGTTCGGCTCAACCCGCCATGACCGCCCCCAGGGCAAAAAGAATTTTACGAGCCGGCCGCGCACAACACTGGGCAGAGGATCCTTTGAACGGCGCTTCACTTGAATGGCGTTCGCTTCGGCCGGCCTGCCGCCGCCGGTGCTCAACGCTGCCGCTGCCGAGGGCGCGGCGCGCGGCCGCGACGGCGCGCAAGAGGCCGATGATGGCCAGAGACTCGGCGTGAAGCGCCGCCTCGACGGCGAGCTCGCGAGCGCGCGCGTCAACGACGACGACGCCAAAGAAGGCGACACCATTATGGTGGACGCTGCACAGATGGCCGCTGCGGCGGCCGCCGGCACCGACCGCGGCACGAAGCGCCTGCTGCACGTCGCGCTCGCGGCGCGCGACGGCTCGCACATCCCGGACATCCAGAACAAGACGGCGCTCGTCACCGAGGTGCGCCAATTGATCAAGAAGACACCAGGCGGCGAGGCGCAGCAGGCAAGCGCGATCAGCGTGCCCATCATCGGCACGTCGCGCGCCATCTGCGTCGCCTTCAGCGGCGAGAGCGAGGCACGCGCCTTCCTCGAGCAGTACGCCGGCGGTGGCGTCCTACAGCTCCCAGCGCCAGACAACATCACCATCACCTTCGCCGCTCTCGACGCCACCGTGTGGGGCAAGCAGGCGGAGGCGCGCGAGACCCAGGCGACCACGGACTCCGAAGGCCTCCTCGCCATACGCACGCGCGGCGCCATTGACACCGCGGCCCAGATCGAGCACTTCGCCCCCCTCTTGGAGAAGCACTTCGGCAACATGGTCTCCATCCAGGAGGGATACCACTCCTTCCTGGGCACGAAGTCGGACGAGAAGGACGGCTCGATCCTCTTCAAGGTGAAGAACGAGAACCTCGTCTGCAACCTCCCGGTCCTGCCCAACGTCTACGCGAGCGGCGATGTCGGCGGACCCCTCCGCCTCGACGTCGGGTGCGTCAAGGTCCTCGGCAACAAACTCTGCCCCTCCTGCCGCGCATTTGGGTTGACCAACGCCGACATCATCCACGACGCGCAGTGCGCCGCGCAGGCGCTCAAGGAGAGGCGCGCCGCAGCGGCGAACGTCGCCAAGAAGAAGACCTTCGAGAGCCTCATCGTCGACAACAAGGTCGAGGTCGCGCGCGCGGCGGGCAAGGTCAAGGCGATGGCGGCGCGCGACGGGATCGGCTTCTGCCCGGCCTTCAACCAGACCGCCCTCCCGTGCAAGACCGCCGCTCGCTGCCGCTACGCGCCGTGCGTCAACTTCGAGGCGCTCCTCCACTCCGCCTTCAAGGACACTATCTACGAGCGCATGCCGAGCGCGGTCAGGCTGGGCACAAGCCGCGGGCGGCGCGGGCGCGGCGGCCGCGGCCGCGGCGGCGGCGGCGGCGAGGTCAAGAGCAACAAGAAGGACTGGGCGAGCGTCGCCCGCGGAGCCGCACGCTCCCCCTACGACGGCGGTCCACGCCTCGAGTCCAACGAGCCCTCGCTATACGAGGGGAGCGACGAGGAGCTCTAGGAACGGCCGCCGAGCCCTTCCCGCAGCGCATCCCTGGCAGCGCAGCGGGCAGGGCGGCTCGCGCAGCGCGCGCGCGCGATCGCGCAAGCGGCGCGCGAGAGCGAGCGAGCGAGCACACACACACACACACACACACACACACACACACACACACACACACACACACACACACATGTTGTACACATGCACAGACACACAGCCCCTTCCCCATCAAGGGCGAGGACACGCGCAGGGGTCGCACTTCTAGCGAGGCCCACAGAGTGGGAGACTCCTATCACCGCCACTGCCACCCACGTGTCAGTCTGCCTGTGGTAGAAGAGACTGCCGGTGAGAAGTCGGAGGAAGGTCGCTAGTCGAGAGAGATCGCCAGTGGATAGGGAGTCCACCGTGCTGCGAGCCTGTCGCTGTCCCTTGTCAGGAGCAGGAGAACTAGGAGAGCGCAACCAGTAGGAGGCCCGCGCTTGCCCCCGTGCCGCCGGGTGCAACCTGTCCTATACGAGAGAGGAATCCCTGGGACCCTGTCGTGAGGGTGAACCCTGCCCAGCCCCCCTCCGTGTCGCGATGCGCTCCCCGCTCCCGTTCCCCGGTGTCCCTGATCGTCCTTACAAGATCCTGCTCGTGCAGGTGCGAGGTGGGGACCCTGTCCTTCTCCCACCCCTCGTTTGGCGTGTCCGTTGTATTTATTTATTTATGGGCACGGGACTGGCGCGCACTGGCAAAAAGAATCTCGCGCGCGATACACTGAGATGAGTAACCCATAGACTGAGATGAGACCGCCAGTGGAGTTGGGATTCCACCGTGCACCGCGCTGCGAGCCTGTCGTCTCCCTTGTCAGGAGCAGGAGAGCCCACCTGTCCCCCTGATCGTCCTTCCAAAATCCTGCTCGTGCAGGTGTGGACCCTGTCCTCCTCCCCTATCCCTCGTTTGGGTTGTCTGTTTTCTTTCTATCCCTTGGGTTGTCCGTTTTCTTTCTTTCATGAGTATCCTATGCGAGAGAGATCCCCTGTGCCCTGTGCCCAGCCCTCTCCGCGCGGCGATGCGCCCTCCCCCCTCGCTTTTGCAAAATCCTGCAAAGGTGGGGACGTGTGTCGTGTCTGTCCTCGACCCAGCCCTAAATAAATAAATCGTCGAAAATCCAAAATCCAAATTGCAAACATAGAAACCCAAACACACACAGCCACGTGGCATAGGAGAGCAGGAGGCGAAACGAAGTATGCCAAACTTCCCAAGGACGCACGAGCGAGAAGCACAGCAGAGCAGACAGATGACGATTACCACCCAGCGCACGACCGCCAACTCTCCGGCGCAGGCCGCGAAAAACCGAGTCCGCGGGCCGACGGTCGCGGCGCGCCGGCGCGGCAGCGGACGCAGCCCGGTTCGCAGCTTCGCGAGCTACGGGGGCGGCCACAGCACGGCCCGGTGGCCGCCCCCGCAATGAGGCCAAGCGGTGGACATCCCGCAAAAGCCGCAAGACGGGATTCGCGAAGGCGCGGGCCACCTTCCGCGGCGGAGGCCGCGGAAGCGCGGCGGCTGCGGAGAGGCACGACAGCATGATGACAAAAGCACGCTGGCGGGGCACCGAGGCAATCGCAAGGGAGCCCCCAGCGGGCTCTTTGTCGGTAGCATCGATGCCGCAACGCAAGGACTACACAAACGACGCCGAGCACCACGGCAAGTTCCAGGTGTGGCTCCAGGCAGGCAGCTTCCAAGGCAAGGCGCGCGACGGTGCGGCGGTGCGGGCAGAGCACGCCGCTCCCTAGGCTCACGCGTGTGGTTGTCTTTGTAGGAGCGGCAGCAGCGGGTGAGCGCGCAGTACGAGAAGCGGGTGCTGGGCTTAATGAATAAATAATAACGCGTGGGCCCTCAGCGGAGCTGGGAATAGGACCGCCGCGAGCGGCGTGGCGTGGAGCGGTTGTGCATCCCTCCGGGGGCCCCTCTGCGCCGGGGAGGCGTTGTTGGAGGCTAGGACGCAAGCGTCCGTCGCCCTTTTCAAACTCGGGGCCCACTCCGCTACGCTCCGACCCGAATTTGGAGGGCCTAACAGTTTAAGGTATTGCTGCGCAAAAGGGGAAGACACTCCACGCACAAAGTACATGCATACTTCCTCTTAGGCGGACCCTCCCGATGCCAGGACGCATCTAGTGCTAGTGTCGCTTTAGGAAATGCGGCGGCGAATGGCAAAGCGCATAAAGAAAGTCGGGGTCGCAGAGAGCGTCGCGCAGCAGTTGAGCATGCTCGTGCGTTGTTTAGGACGCCACGCCAATTATCTGCGCGCCCATCTGTTGCCTGGCATCCCCTGCGAATTCGTCACTCGTGATCAGCTCCGCCGCCGCTCGTAGCAACCAGTGCCGTGTCGAGATGAAGCTCCGCGACGACGCCCGTGGACTGCACGCGCAGGGAGAGGCGCACGAGCTCCCGCACGGCAAGCGACTTCTCGGCATGCGCCGCCTGACGCCTGTCGGCATCCCATTCTTGCAAGCAAGCCACATTTCTACCGACGACCGCGTATTTGGTCGCGGAGAGGACGTTTTGGTACGTTTTGGCACCAGCTGAAGGCTTGCACGGACAAGAGCCCGTTGCCAACCGCACTTTTGCCAGAGCCTCGCGAATCAATTGGCCTCCGCTCGGGTGTGAAGGGCCTCCAGGGCTCGCACCTCAACCTCTCACAGGCCAGCGCACAGCGCCATAGGACGTATTTTCTTCTCAATAACAAGGCTGTGAACATATTCGCTGCGGTCAAAATAAATAAAAAATAAATCGAGCAGTCATCTCCAGGAGAGATAGGCGACGCACGAACACAGAGGCACAGTGCGCACCCCGCCCCGCTCACAGGGCGTGTGCATCACACAGGCGTGGACTTCTGGGATTCCGATAGTGGCTGGTGTAATAAATAAAACCCTCTACTGTGAGATGGAATAAACAAAGAATCATAGAAAATCAATAAATAGAGCAGTCATCTCCAGGGAGAGATGGGCGACGCACACGAACACAGAGGGACAGTGCGCGCACCCACCGACGTTCCATAAGGCGGCACATGGCACAACACGCAACGAATAAAGCAGCAGCTGAGAGCAAGGCTACCAACAGAATAAATAAAAACGGACATCTCTCTACTGTGAGGTGGGTAAAAAGGAACAGGTCCCCGCCCTTGCGATCTTTGTGCAGGGTTCTTTGTGTGGGTGTGGTCGGCGACTAGCCGGGGTCGTCCTCCCGATGGGGGACTAGCACTAGGCGTCTTCCACATGGTCCCTCGGGTCCCTGCTGCTCCTAATCTCTTCGTACACCCTCCTGCTGATCTCCGCAAAGTCCTGCTCCCTCCCTCGTCTCGCCCTGCGCGTCTGCTCCGCCTCACCGTCTTCTGCCCTGCGTCGTCTGGCGACGGGTCCTCCATAGTCGGTCGAGGTCGCCGCCCTCCTCGTGCCTCTTCCCAACGTTCCCTCGGCGGCCGATGCCGTCTGCTCCGGCTCCCCAGTCCCCGGGTCTGCTGCTCTTGTCTGCGCTAGTTTCTGCTCTACCCAGCCCTAGCTTGGGATGTCCGTTTTATTTATTTAGACTGCGGAGATGAGACCGCCAGTGGAGTTGGGAGTGCACCGCGCTGCGAGCCTGTCGTGTCCCTTATCAGGAGCAGGAGAGCCCCACCTGCGTGCCCCTGATCGTCGTCCTTCCAAAATCCTGCTCGTGCAGGTGTGGACCCTGTGCGTCCTCAGTCCCTCGTTTGGGTTTGTGTCAATTTTTTCTTTCTTTCTTACGAAGCAAGGGGGGGCAAAATGCTTAAAACCCATCGTGCCGAAAAGTGTCATTCGACCAACATTAGACCCGGCTGCAGCTCTTCTATCGTGCGGCAGTCCTCCTCCACTTGGCTGTGGTTTGCGTGCCGGAGCAGCACATAGCCGGCGGCGCTCGGCAGGTCAGTTGTCAGGCAGACCTGGGAAGGGCCGGGGAGGAGGGGCCGGGAAGGGTCTGGGAAAGTAGCCTCCGGGAAGCGACCCGGGGAAGGGGAGAGAGGGGCGCGCCTGCTCTCCGCTCGCCGTGTATCTCGGCTCCAGCTGGCGGACCGAAGGCAACGCTCGCATCGCAGCCGCCACCTCGGGGTCGAGCCGTCTAACGCGGCGAGGACGTGTCACTGGAGACGCGTCGCGGTGTCCTCAGCATCGGAGCCGCGGCCGCGCCGCAGCCGCCCCGCCCGTGTCGCCACCAGCTTGACGAGCCTGCAGGAAGGTTCCGAGAAGGCTCGGGCGAGGCCAGGCCCCGCCCGTGTCGCCGCCTGCTTGGCACGAGCCGCGCGCTCGAGCGCAGCGACGGCGGAGGCAGCGGCGGCAGCGCGCGCCAGGCGGTGTCGTCGTCGGCGAGCGAAGCGAAGGCGGCGTCGTACTGCGTGTACCCGATGCAAGGCCCGGTGAGGCTCGCAAACGAGACGCCGTTGCAGCGGCCGGCGTTGACCTCGACCAGGGCCGGCCCGATTCAACAATGACTCATGGCTGCAATGAATGACTACTAGATGCCAAGCTCACCTCCACGAGGGCCGGCCCGCGCGAGGTTTGCTTGAGCTCGATGTGGCAAGGGCCCCACCGCCACCCCACCGCCTCGAGCGCGCCGAGAGCGTACTCGACCAGCCGCGCCTCCGTCTCCCCCGCCGCCGGCATCAGCTCGTCGTACCGGTACACAAAGGGAGCGCCGTTGGCCGGCCCCTTGGAATAGCGCCAGAGCGCGACGGCCTTGTGCTCCCCGTCCCTGCTCGCCGTGTCGACGACCCACTCCTCGCCCGCAAGGTACTCTTGCAGCAGCGGCGCCGCGGCAACCTCGTCGTCCGGAGAGAAGGGCGCCTGCAGCGCTTCGAAGGCGCGCCGAGCGTGCGCCTCGTCGCACGCTAGCGCGACGCCGCAGCCGCCCGTGCCTCGCCGCGGCTTGAGCACGACTCGGTTGCCGCGAAGCGAGCGGATGAAGGCCTCGGCGGCGGGCCTGATGCGGGATAGAGAGGGGGGAGGGGTCGACACTGCAACTTGGAGCTGTCTGGAGGGTGGATCGCAGCAGGCGGCGGGCGCCAGTCAGAAGGGCTCGCCGTCGCCGCCGTCAGCAGTCCGTGTCCCGCGAGCGCGCGGTTCATCAGCAGCTTGTCCCGCCGTGCCGGGCAAACGCCATTACTTCGCTCAGGCACCAGCGCTGCCTGCATGCGCTCTGCGGTCGAGAGGCCCGCTTCGCTCCCGCAAAGAACGCCTCCGAGGCAAGTGCCAGCCGGCAGCCGGCTGGAGGCCCAGGCCACCTCCTCGCCATTCTTTGGCGCGACCGGGATCGACCCGAGCTGCTGCAGCGCCTTGTCGGGGACCCGCTGCGCAGAGCGAGGCACCCTTCGCGAGGGAGCCGACCAGACAGGGAGCAGCGGCACGCCGCGCGAGATTGCCTCGCGCGTGAGATCTTCATCAACAGGGTCGACGTAGAGGAGAGGCCGGGTCCCTGGGGCGGTTGGTCGGGCAAAGCCGGCGACGAGCGTGAGGGTTGAGCAAGACAGGCTCATGTGGCAGCCTCCAAAATGCAGTTTTTGCGCAGCGGCGCCGCCAGGCGGTTCAATCGCTCGGCCCCCTTGGTTCCGCACCAGTGTTCGGACTCTTTGGTATGGTATGGTACGTCAGTCAACCCAGCTGAGACCCCCCCCGCCTGCTGACAGACCCAGCCTCCCGCGGAGGGGACCATACCCCCCCCCCCCCCCCCCTCGTCCCACCGTCGGCCGCCTCACTGCTAGCTCCAGGACGCAGGAGGCTGACACGCACACTAGATACGCGCGGATGGCCGCCGTCATTTTGGTTTTCTTTCGCGGGCATTTGGAAGTGCATACACGTACGTGTATGTACATATATGCAGCGCGACCGCGGCGACGAGCTCGCCGCGAACGCGCCAATCATACTCGAGGGATGCTGCGAGTCCTGGTCGGTAATCGCGAAGGATGGCTCCACAGCTTTCCGCTGACCTCACTGCCGCAACGCGTGTGGGTGGAGACTTTGTCCTCGGCCGAGATATGGACGACAGCACTGTCCTCGGCTGTCTGCCACGCTGTGTTTCACGTAAGCAGCTCGCCCTGACGCCTTCAAGCGGCAGCACGCTGCATCGCTGCTGCTTGAGCATTATTACGGCACGGCAGCAACGGGCGTACTCAAATCATCCGCGGGAGATCACTGGGGGCGTGGTTGGACGAGAGTGGCTGCCAGTATGAGGTCGGCCACGGTGACAGCATCGCTCTCACACGCGGCGTTCCTCCGAGTCGCTCTCACTGGTCACGGAGATGCGTAACCTCGCAAATAAGGAGGAGCGCAACACAAAGGTCAACCAACTTGGACGGCTGGCGTTCGAGATCTTGCCGAGCATTCTGAACGACGGCTATGTTGATTCGCGCGACATTGAGGCGCTCCGCAACCAGAAGGGTGTCGGCGAGTGGAGCGTGGAGCCGCTCCAGCAGCTCCGCGACACGGGCGCGTGCTCCTACCTCATGGCGCTGCGGGCTCGGCGGCGGCAGTAGAGGCCGAGGGACCATTACCCCCCCCCTGCCAGGGCTAGTCTTGGGCGGTCAGGACCCCCCCACCCTTTGGGCCGTGCCCACCATACCATGCCCGCAAAAAGTTGGAACCCGCTGAGGGCCTTTCGTGAGATTTTCGCTGTAGCCCATGCCCGCCTCGCTCCTGCTCTGGCTGCCGCCCGTCTCGGCGGTGCTGTTCACGCCAGCCTCGCAGATGCCGACGCCGGCCTCGCGGTTGGCCGTGCGGGCACCTGCAGCAACCATGGCGGACAAGGTGTTCAAGCTCGGAGAGCTGGAGCTGGGCGCCGGCAAGGCAAATGTGGCCTTCAAGCCGCTGATGGACTCGAGCGAGGCGGTTGTCGTGAGGTACAAGCTGCCATTCGGGCTAAATGCCGAGGAACAGGCAGGTCGGGTTGTCGTGACGCAGGACGGCGCGGGAGGCGAGCGCGTCGGGGACGTGCTGCGTTTCACGACAAGGTGGTCGCTGGGCTTGCCACAGGGCGGCGGGCTTGTCTCGACAGCAGCCAGCTTCGGAGGGGCCATCGGCTGGCAACTCTCGCTCTTTGACGTCGCGAAGGCACGCAACTTCGACGAAGTGGTAGAGGCGCTGACCTCAAACACAGAAGACCGCACCAACCAGGTGACGCTCATCTTCGAGCGCCCCACCGCCTAGTAGCTCCACCGCCTCCCTGTCGGCCGCGTCCCCGCGCGGCAGGGTCCGCACGGAGCAAGTGGTGCCGCGGCTCGCCGAGACGCCCCAGGTGGCTCCCGGGCCCGGCATCTCGTGTGACGTGTCCTCGCGCCTCTCTCCATGCTACCGCGTACCGGTATAGCTACATACACACACATGGGTCCCTTGGGCATGCGCATTTGTGCTGTCATGGGGCGCGCGGAAAAGCGAGTAATGGAAATCTCTACGCAAGAACAGGAGATCGTTGGGGTAGAGATAGTAGATTTTAAGACTGGTGGAGATCCTACTGACGTAGCCGCCCCATTCCCAGCCTGTGGCGAGTTGGAACACAAAACCTGCCTGGGAGTTGTTGAAGTTTCAGGAGGTTTCCATTAGTAAACGCAAACCACTGGAAGCTCACGAGAGGGCAGGTGAGAGGAGAGGCGCCTCAATTGCTGGGGATGCCAGCGGCGCCTGCCAGGCGCCTGCTGGGCCGCGTGGGCGAGAACGCGGTGTCGCGTCGTAACAACGGGCAGGCCCTTCGGTACGGCGCGGACCGCTATTACGAGGTCGCGTTCAGTATGCCCAATGGCGACGGTACGCGCGCGCTATTGCCTCCCGGCGCGCGCGCAGTTAGTGTGGAGCTGCACACACCCTCGCTGCGCAGCGTGTGCGGCGAGGCGCTGCGTATGGCGCCCTCCCAGCTCTGAGTCGCCCCGCTCGCCCCCTCGCAGCTGGCATCCGCCCTGCAGTTCTCTTCCGGTGCTTCATTGAGAGCGGGTCGACCAATGACCCCGAGACGGCCCAGACAGCCGAGCTCTTGTGGTGCTACAACGGGGAGGACCTCGCTGCCTACAAGGACGAAGCTCCAGCGCCGCCACCACTAGAGGCGACCTCGGACGACGACGCGCTGGCCGAGGGCGCCGCCTTTGCCCTTGGCGACCGCGTCGATGCCCGATATCAAAAAAAGGCGCGCTGGTTCCCAGGCTACGTGACGAAGGTCGTGCAGACGAAGAGGGGAATGACCGGCTTCCGTGTCCACTTTGACGACGGCGACACCGACGTGCTGCCGGCCGGCTTCATCCGCCAGCGGGTCGACATCGTCTCTCTGCTTGGGACGGAGCTCGCGGCGCGCATGCAGCAGGATCCAAAGGTGGTGGTGCTCACAAACTGCGCAGAGGCGCACGACGCGGAGGCGGTCATGGGGATCGCGGCGGTCGGGCTGGGATGCGAGTGGGAGGTCGCGGGCACGCTCATCTTCGAGTTCAACGACAAGGTGCCGCCTCGCAGCCGCGCCGCGCCCCATGACCGCCTTTGCGCGCACCAGAGCGACGCCTCTCCCCTCAACATAGGCGCCGCCGCAGGCGGTCAGGCCGCTCTCGTTCACGCCTTGGGGGAAGGATGCGTCGCTTGCTTCGATCATGCCCGAGTCGCTGAACGACATGCCCACCACCGAGTTGCTCCCGCCGTCGCTCTTCCCGCGGCCAGCCTCGAGCCACCGGCGCTGCCCGCCCGCCTTGCCCGTTGTCCCCCTCACCGCCGGGCCGGTCTTGCGCGGCGCGGCGCTCATGTTCCAGGCCGACGATGCGCTGGTTCGGTTCCTCTCGTACATGGACGGCGACGGCAGCATCAAGTACATGTTCGGCAAGGACTTCTCGGGCGACGAGATCCACGGCTTCCGCGTGCTCGAGCAGGGTTCCGACGAGCTCAGGCTCTGCACCACCGACCCCGAGAGCAAGGACCTGCTGCAGCGACCTCTCAACCAGCGCCCGTTTCTCAACTTGACGGGCGCACTCGTGCCGACCGACATCGGCGTCAAGATCAACACGGCGACCGTCACCCACGAGGGCGTGATCTCGTGCGCCTCGTGCGCGTTCATGATTATGTGCGCCGTCGGCACCGCTCGCGTCCGCTTTTTCGACTGCTGCTTGCTGCAGGGTCACATAGTCGCCACTCGCGACCTGTCGATCAAGGAGTCGCGCAAGGTCGAGATCGACTTCGTGATTCCCGAGCTGCACCGCCTCGCCGTCCTGCAAAGGGCGCATCAAGATATGCTGGTGTGTGCGCGCGCGCTCTCTTCGCCCCCTCGCCTCGCCCGCGTCGCAACTCCTCTCTCCACACACACACACACCTGCCCCCCCCTTACCCCCCGCGTCCCTCACTAATTGATCTGCCCCTCTCCCCTCCCAGGCAGCCTTCATCGACCGCGTCGACAAGGTCTCGGCGCTCGACCCAATGGTGCTGCACTTGAAGAACTGGCCGCCCGAGAATGTGATGGCGTTGCCATGCTGGCCCGACATGTACCAGCGCTCGGGGAAGGGGGCGGGCATGTCGGACACGGACCGCATCATCTACCGTGCCTCGATCAAGAGCTCCGAGGACGCGCAGAGCTTCCTTGGTTTCCTCGCCGTGGAGCTGCCGTCGACAGCCAAGGTCACGCATCGCTTTGCCCTGGTCTCCCCCACCCCTCTCTCAGCCGCAGACGAGAGCCAGCTGCGCGCAAAGGACGAGCTGGGTGCCACAGGAGGGTGCGGCAGCCGCTCGGCGCACTGCATCGACTACGAGCCAGCGGCGCGCTTGCTGACGGTGCGTGTCGGCGTCGCCACGTTCAACGGCTCGATGCCGGTGGACGGCGCCTCGGTGGGTGCTCCGCCTCCCTCCATCCCCGACCCCAAATACGTCCTCGGCCTGGGCTGGGTGGCGAGCTCAACTCCCGTGCCCTCGCCAGCTGAGCTCCACGGTCAGTCGGCCACACTCGAGGAGTATCCCCTTTGAGCGTCCGAGTGTCCTTGTGTACGTATTTCGGTCTGGGACGCAGTGTGGAGCGGGTGTGCAGCACACTTAGTCCTTGCGCGCCCGCCTTCGCGTCTGCGCTCGCGAGTCTCGCATGCCGGGATGCACACCCATTGTATTGGTGGAGTCGGTACTTTCTTTTGAACACATGCATCCAGTTTGATGCGAGACTCAAAACCTTCGCCCCCTCTGAGTCCTCCCTCTGCTGTCTCGCCGACCGTCGCGCGGCCCCTGCCCCTCTACCGCCCATCTCGCTACGCCCTGCCGCCGCGGGGCAGCCCGTCCAGCGAGGACCCACGTCGCGCGCCCCGGCGGCGGGGGCGCGGCCGCACCCACGAGCACGCCGGCGCCGTCGCGCTGGGTGGCTGATGCTGCTGTTGCTGCTGCTGCTGCCGCTGGCCGTGCAGCGCTCTTGACATCACCCTTGCGCACGTCCAACCGTTGCGTAAGCCGTCCTATGATTGCGGATGGCTACGGGCGGTAACGTGTGGTTCCCGGCGACTTTCGGCGATTACTACCACGATGACCAGCCAAGCTCGGAGGCGCCGGGCGGGTAGCGGCAGGTAGAGGGCAGGTAGCATGGAGAGGCCTTGGGCCATGCAACCACCTATACAGCATCTCCACACGCCAGTGCTTGTGCGCGCGGTGGAGTCCCCGCGGCTGGGCAACGCGGACGCACCGCTCCCGCCGACTCAGCCCCCGACGCCTATCGCCTTCGCGACGCCCATTGGGGGCGACCCTTCTCTGCCGCTCGCCGCCACTGCGTGCGACGCTCGCGCACGCGCGCCTGTGCATGCGGTTCCGCGGGTCGAGCCTCCGCCCAAGCGTGGACCAGCTGCCGCGGCACGCTCGGCGCCGAGCGGCGGCCAGCCTCGGCCGCAGCCTCAGGCGGCCAGAGCACCGGCCGCCCGCTTGCCGCTGGCGCCGATCGGCTCGCCGCCGCCTACGGGCCAGCCGCCTGCCGGAGCTCCGCAACATGGGAGCCCGCCGCCGGACGCGGCCGATGCGGGAGGGCCTTCGGCTGGAGAGCGTTCGGGCCGACCGGCAGGGGCCGGGGCCCGGCAGCAGCAGCAGCAGGCACAACGTCGTCCGCCGCGGCCCGCTGCTGTGAACAGAGGCGCTGCGCGCAGCCGCGCCCCAGCGGCCCCGGGCAAGTTCAACTTCTACTCTCCGGGGAAGAAGGCGCGGTACTCGAGTAAATTGCAGACACTTCCCGCCGTCCGGCTTGCACCGGCCAAGTTCGACTTTGCCGCCATGCCCAAGGTGCGCCGCCCCCACCCCACTCTCAACACTTTCACACGCAAGACTGTGAATTCTCCTGCAGCGGTAGACACACCCGCCCTTACCGCCGCAGGAGAACATGCCGCTGCAGCTGCGGGCCGCCTTGGAGGCCTCCTTGCCGGGATGCTTCCGACCAGGCGGCAACTCCAAGGACAAGCCCAAAGTCCAGCTCGACCTCGGCACCCTCGAGATGTGGATCCGTGCGGCGGCCGTCGCGGTGCAGACCGAGAGCCGCGGGAACAAGCCGGCGGCGAGGAAGAAGCGTTCGGCAGCAGGCGAGCCTCGCGGCGACGGCGACGGTGACGGCGACGGCGACGGCGACGCCGCTGGTGGGGGCGGCGGCGGGGGCAGCGGCGAGTACCTGTTTGGGAGCGCGGACGACGCCGACTTTGTGGCGGCGGTGGCGGCGGAGCGTAGGCGCATCGAGGAGGAGGGGCCGTACGACCTCAACCAGATGGCCCGGTGCGGCGCGCACGGGGACAGCACACTCAACCACGTGCTGCGCGAGCCGATCGAGGAGTTGGAGCAGATGATCTCGTCGCTAGGCACGCGCTCCGCCCCCCACGACATTCCAATGGAAATCGATAGGTTTGAGCTCCCAGACCCGACCACCAAAGCAACAGGCTGGGAATGGGGCGGTGGATCTCTCTCACCCCACGGACACGACGCGCCCACAAGTCTCGCCCTCTCGCCAGGGTACCGCAGTAGACCCCTCCTGTCAGGACGGCCCTGTCCGGTTCCCCATTTAAGACTAAAGATCGAAGATTGAGATTGTGGATTAAGTCATCTTAGTTAGGCCGGAGATTCAGTCAGATCTCCGATCTCCATCTCCAATCAGCAATCTCCATTCTCCAATCTCGACTCGGGGGCCCGGGGGAGGAGGGGGGCTAAAACCTTCAAGGAGATGCGCTATGGATTCATTCACAATGCAAAAGGATCTCCACCCTCTTTTCGCGCCATTTTGCAATCTCCAGTCGGCCCACACGATCTATAGGCGCCTTTCTTTGGCGCGAAGTCAGAATCTCCACCTCTGTCGCAAGATCACAAGCGACTGCACGCACCAACTCGACATCTCAGACTCCTCTCGAGCATCTACACTGGAGAGGATTTGCCTGAACCAGTTCTTCAATCTACTGCTTCGTCTCTTGGCAGGAGATTTTTGCCACTTATAAGAGATCTCTATATATAAAAGGCATCTATATACGATCTATCTAGACAGTCCAAGCATCTTCCGATGTTGCGTAGAGATTTCCATGTATGGGAAAAGCATAAGTGTACATTCGTTTGCCCAATAAGTAAAATCGCAGGAGCGCGGCGCTCGGCGGACTCGTGTATATGTGTATGTGTCACAGTGTCACTCGCGACTCGGCTCCTGTCCGTCGGGTGCGGGTCGAGCTCGGCGAGACGTACTACAGGCGAAGGAGGGAAACGCCAAAACGGCGGAAGGAGGTGTGCAGGCGGTCCCACGAGTAGACAAACAGTGCCAGCTCTCGCCTCTGCGAGCCGGCAGCCGGGCCGGGAGCGGCTCCTGCGCCAGAGGCGGCGGCCCTCGCCGCGCCCTGGCTCTCCCGCTGCCCTCCCGCTGCCCCCCAGCCCAGGCAGTCGGGGCGGGAGGCTGTGCAGATCCCCGAGGGCGGCGAATTCTCCGCGGCCGGCGCGAGCTCGTCTCAGCTGGCGGAGGGGCGCGAGGGCGGCAAGCCGGGTGCTCCCAGGGGTGGTCCGGGCGAGGAGGGGGGCGGGGCGCGAGCGAGCGCCGCGACGGCGGGCGGCATGAGAGAGGAGACGTGCGGGTTCTTGGACGAGACGACGAGCTCGAACATCTGCATCAGCACCTGCGGGGAGGCGAGGAAGAGTGCGCGTGGTCGGGCGAGGGTGTGGTGAGGAGGAGCCTCTCGGCGGGCGCACGTCGCGGGAGATGGAGGGGGGTGCTGGGGAGGTGGAGGGGCGAGGTGTGGGGAGATGCGGGAGGGTTGGCGCACGTCGCGGGAGATGGAGGGGCGGAGCTTCTCGAGGTGGTCGAACGCCAGCTTGAGCTGCGCGAGCGCCTTTTGCACCGCCTTGTCCCGGTGCACGCCTGGGGCAGCGGGCGGGGAACGAGGAGGGAGGGAAGGGGTGGTGCGCCGGTGCGAGGCCTGTGGAGGCTATGGGGAGATGTGGGGAGATGTGTGGAGGCTGTGGGGAGATGTGTGGAGATGTGTGGAGATGTGTGGAGATGTGTGGAGATGTGTGGAGATGTGTGGAGATGTGTATGTGTGGAGATGTGTGGAGATGTGTGGAGATGTGTATGTGTGGAGATGTGTGGAGATGTGTGGAGATGTGTGGAGATGGCGCGCCGAGCTGCCGCGCGAGGACGGGCGCGACGACGAGGGACGCGACTGAGCTCTGCGCCTCACCGCCCGGAGAGAGTGGCGCGGCCGAGTGTCTGCTTTTCGGCGTGCCGGCCGACTGCCTCTGCCCGCTCTCTCTGGGGGAGGCGCTGGGCGACGTGATCGAGGAGTTGGAGGAGTGGCGGTAGCGGGAGAGGTCCGAGGAGGAGGTGTCGTAGGAAGGAGGCCGCTCGCTCCTACGGGGAAGCATCCAGGAACAGGGCTCCGGCGAGGCTCCTGCTGCCAAGCCGCGCGGGGGCGGTGTGCTCTGCGCCATTCGTTCGAGTCGTCTCCGAAGTCCCAGCCGGCGGCGGGAGGGGGGGGCGGCGCGGGCGTGGCGTAGGCGGGCTTGGAGCGCGAAGCTGCCCGGCCTTGCGTGAGCCGCTCCTTCTTCTCGCCTGCAATTAATTAATTACTTAATTACTTGCTGCCCGGCCTTGCGTGAGCCTCTCCTTCTTCTCGCCTGTGCGGGGATGGCTCCGGGTTAGGTTAGGGGGGGCGACGCGCGCTCCGCTCCTCCCTCATCGCTCGCCCGTCAGCTGGTGGGCTTAGAAGTGTCTAGCAGGTGTCTAGGAAGTGTCTAGGAAGTCTAGGAAGTGTCTAGGGGAAGTGTCGCCTGTCAGCTGGTGCGGCTTGCAGCCGATCTCCTTCTCGTACCGCTTGATGAGGTCGGTGAGCTTGGCGCTCGGCTGCCTCACCCAAGGGTGCTGCAGCAGCTCCTGCGCGGTGGGCCGCTCGGGCGCGCTCCGCTTGAGGCAGCAGCCGACAAAGTCGCGGAACTCGGCGGACCACTTCCCGCCCTGCAGCTGTGGCGGCTCCATGTCGGGGATGAGGAGGAGGACCTTCATCGGGTGGACGTCCGCGTGCGGCGGCTCGCCCAGGCACATCTCGAGCGCGGTGATGCCTGTTCACGCCTGGAGCGGTGAGAAGCGTCCCGCGGCCTGCCTCTGTCCGTCTCGAGGCGGCGGCGGCGCCGAGGGACCAGATGTCGGCCTTGCAGTCGTAGTTTTGCTGCTGGATCACCTCGGGCGCCATCCAGAAGGGCGTGCCGACGAAAGTGCAGCACTTGGACATGGTCGCCGTGATCTGGCCCGCCACGCCAAAGTCTGCCAGCTTGACGGCCCCATCCTCGGCGAGCAGCACGTTGGCCGCCTTGATGTCGCGGTGAATCTTGCCCTCGGTGTGGAGGTAGTCGAGCCTGCCCGCGCGAGGCGCCGCCCGTCGAGAGGCGCGTGCGGTGGCTGGCGCTGGGGAGGGAGGCAGCGAGCGAGGGAGCGAGCGAGCGAGCGAGGCGAGGGAGGGAGAGGCGGGCGGGGCTGCCCGCGCAGCACGTCGTGCAGGATGGTCTTGATGTAGGGCTCGGTGAGGGGGAAGGCGTCCATCATGTCAAGGATCGAGCCGCCGCCCACGTACTCCTGCGGTGCAGGCGGCGCTGGCGGGCTCGGCGGCGGGATCGATGAGGAGATGGCTGCAACGGAGGCCGTGGCAAGGGCGGGCGCGCCATGATGATGTATAGCTGACTTCCCGAGACGTGGGAGCCGTAGTATTGGGTGACAAAGGCGGACTCGCACAGCGCCATCACCTTGATCTCCTGCACGATGTCGTCAATCTCATCCTCAGCCTGGTCGAGGTCAATGACTTTGATCGCAACCACCTCGCCCGTTTGGCGGTCCTGGCCGCGCCAGACCTCGCCAAAGGAGCCGCGGCCGATGCGCTCATGCAACACGTACCGATCCTCCACCGCCTCGCACTCGGCCATCCCGAGTTACGCTCAGCACGGCACGGATGCGGTCGAGCGAAGGATCTCTCTTTCCATGGCTCACAGCCGCACGCCCTGAAAGCGAAATTTGTAAACCCGGCGTCTGAGATTGAAGAAACTCGAAGAATCGAAACGTGAGAGAAGAAGCGAGAGCAAGGGAGCGGCAGGCGGCGGCGCCGTCGCAGGATGAGGCAGAGGAGAGCGACGCGACAGAGGAAGAAGCGACAGGAGAGAGAACGACGAGAGTGAGACGACCGCAAGGTGGCATGAAGGTTGCAGCGAGAATCGGGGAGAGACTGCGAAGAGAGATAGGAAGAGGCAGACTCCCTAGGGTGGGCGATGGCTAGCGCATCACACCCCTCTCCTTAAAATCCCTGTGTGTGGTGGCGGCGTGCCGTCCTCCATCCCGCCCTTGGGTTGTCCGTTTTCTTTCTTTCTTTTTCACTCATATGAACGTCAAGAACAACCCGTCCCTCGGAGACAGCGCCGTCAACAACCGCGACGCCGCGCGCTTCGTCTCCGCCTCAACGCCTTTCGCCGGCAAAGCCCTCGATGTCCGTGTCGACGGCACGTACGCCACCGCCCTCTCCTCCGACGCCCTCCAGGACGAGCTCCAGCGGAAGCTCGGCCTTTGGCTCTCCGTGGCGCTTCCCACCCTTCGGGTCGCGCTCGAGCGGGGCATGCCAGTCGATTTCTTCGGCGACTACCTTTACAACAAGGCCCACCACCGGCGGCCCCACGACGGCGTCCTCGCCGCCTGAGGGAGGGTGTAGAGGATGTAGAGTGTAGAGCGCTGTAGAGCTGTAGAGATGTAGAGCGCTGGAGAGCGCTGTAGAGCTGTAGAGCTCTACATCCGCCGCGTGACGATGTGAGTCGCCTGTAGAGCGATGTAGAGGCGCTCTACAACGTGAAATCTCTACAACAAACTCTACATCATAAGCGGCGAACGAGGCACGGTCGCTCTCCGACATGAGGCGCGTTGCACTTGCCAGTGCTGCCCTGGCCTTCTGTCTGCCCGCCCAATGGGTGGCAGGTGCCTCTGCTGCTGTGGCATGCCTCACGGCTGCGACTGGCCGGCGCCTCGGCGCGTCAGCCAGCTCGGCTCGGCGTAGCGATAGTGGCCAGCGCAACTCGCCTGGACTCAACGCTCAGCCAGGAGCTCCCGCACGCGCTGGCGCGAGCATGGCGCATGCAACGCGTCTGAATGCTCGCCTCGCCTCGCGCAAATGCGACCGTCCTCGCAGCCGACAGTCCACCGGCTGCTAAAGAAGCACAGCGACGAATGCGGCACCGGCGACACATGGCAGGCTGGTCATGACGCAGTCATAGGGTGTTGTGTGCCGTCAGAGTGACTCTCTGTGTGTCAGGGATAGCCAGGGCTGTCCATCAGAGCTCCAGTAAGCTCGGAGACACCCCATTAGCGCGGCTCGACCTCTTTGAGTCACTGCCTTCCCGGCGGTTTGGCTGTAGAGCCTCTACAACAAACTCTACAGCAAAATCGCGCTCTACATCGCTCTACAGGCGACTCACATCGTCACGCGCCGGATGTAGAGCTCTACAGCTCTACAGCGCTCTACATCTCTACAGCTCTACAGCGCTCTACACTCTACATCCTCTACACCCTCCCTCAGCTCGCCGCCTGGGCGGACGCGATGCGCGCCCCGGCCAACGCGCCGGTCGTGCACGGCGACAAGGAGAAACCAGAGCTCACCCGCCACCCGGCAGTACAACGAGGGGTACAATGTCGACCTCGCGGAACCCCACGCTGGCCCGGGAGGATGCGATGAGGTGAATGAAATCAGTCTCTGGACGCCCCTCCTCAAGACCTCCTCGCCGGGCGTTGGCAACGCCTCGAGTGGCGGCACGCCCGCCTCCGTTGGCCACTCCTACGCCTTCGGCAACACCGAAGAGAAGGCCCGCCGCCTAAACATGTGGGCTGCAAGGCGCGCGGGCAGCCCGGCCAACCCTTCGACCACAAGAACGGCCACGGCTACGTCAAGGCGCATCGCGGTTTCTACCACGACGCGATCTTTGTCAAGCGCAACAACTTCAACCTGCTGCTCCACGAGACGTTCGGCGGCGGCTTCTCGCCCACCGCCGTTCTCAAGCTGCGCCGCCTCGCGCGCAAAGTCGCGCGCGGCAGCGTTGACCGCACGGCCTACTCGCCCAAGTACTCGCTCTCTTTTATGTCCCACCATGCAGAGCGCATCTCTCTCTCTGTTGTGCGAGGCGTGAATCGCGCCATTCGCTCTCACCTGGCAACCCTGTCTGCACGTCTCGCGCGCGCGTGAACAGGGCTCCAGGCCCCAAATGACGTGTGAGTGTTAGAGTTGTTTGGTATTGCTAAATCTCTCTCTCTCTCTCTCGAAGACAGACAGTGTGGTGGCGGCGTGCCGTCCTCCCATCCCTCCACCTCCCTTGGCTTGCCTGTTTTCTTTCTTTCTTTTTCACTCATAAGTCATATGCGCATATCTCACCGGTCACCGCCCCCCTCCTAGGCACTCTAGGTCTATGGACTTCCTTATTGTAATGTTACCAGGTGGGTTACGCGGGAAATTTGCGCGAGCTGCGGCACCGCCGGGACGGACGGCGGGCGGGTGATTGATTGCATGCACCGCCGCAACTGCAAGAGGCCCCCACGGGGCTGTGAACCGACCTCTGAGCTCGGGCAGGGGCTGTAATAAGGAAGTGAAAGACCTTCCCTGGGTCTGTCTCTCACACGCTCACTGTCATCGTTTGCAAGCTTCTTGTTCTTATCACACAATGTGAAATCTTGGAGCACTGAAATGCTGCGTTTTCTCGTGTTTCTAGCGTGAGACCGCGCCGCGCGGGCCAACATCTGCCACATGAGCACCGCCCGCCCGCCCGTGGAGAGAGCGCTCACTAATCTGGCGTCGGCGGCCGTCCTCTTTGGCGGCGCGGCGTGGTGGACACGGAGGAAATCAACGGCCGAGCAGGGCGCGCTCGCAGAGGAGGCAGTCGCTACCGAGGAGGGGGGGAATGGACCTGGCGCCGTTGCTTCGGCGCTACATGGCGCGGTGCGTGGCCCCGGCACGCCTGCTGCAGTGAGCTCGGTCCCAGCTCCACCTGCTGCAGCAATGGGCGTCGCAGACCAGCTCGAGTCGCTGTTCAGACTCAAGGCAGTCGGAGCGCTCTCCGAAGAGGAGTTTGAGGCTGCCAAGGCCAAGGTGCTGGCTGGCGGGCCAAACTAGCGCTGTTGCGGAGGAGCGTCGACGGGTTGCACGAGGGCGTCGCCCTTGCTACTTTTGAAGGCCAGCCGCGTATTTTTATATCTCAAGTTATCTCTCTCTCTCGTGCATTCTCATGGCTACAAGTTGACGTACAAGGGCGCGCTCTCGAGGGCGCGCTCCGGCCTCTGCTGGCTCACGCGAGGCCTTTGTGTGCGCGTGTACATCGCGCGGTGCCGAATCGTTGATAATAATATCAAAAAATGTCCGGAGGCCCACGCGGGCCGCGTCGTTCGACGTATACTGAAAGTCTGACCGGCACGCACATATGCGCACACACGTACACGCACACCTGACCGGACACATCTCATTAGCCTACTCAGACGCGCTCGATGCTCGGCTTTGACGAGCCCATCTTTGTCCACGATCTCGACGAGCGGCGCTCTGAGCGCGAGTGGCGCGACGAGCGCCTCGTCGATTCGCGGTCCCGGGGCGTGTGCGGCGGCAGCGGCGCATTGGTGCGGCCCGGCAGGCCGATATCACCGTCGCCATCCAAGTCAACGCCCGTCGTGGTCTCGAGGGCGTTGATGCGATCCTCGATGCTCATGATACCAGCCCGGCTGTTGGACTCCTTCTGAAGCTGCGCGGGCGCCGCGGCCTTGGCAGCCGCTTGCGTAGTTGCGGGCGCCTCGATGTCACCTTCGCTGTTCCGCTCGGCGGTGCGGCTGCTCGACGGTATCAGGCGGTTGTAAAGCGAGGGCGCCGGCATGTCGGTCGTCGGCATGCCACCGGCCCGGGTGCCCGCCTCCTCCAACACCACAAAGTCTCGGCTCACTGCCGACGCACCCTTGCACACCAGGAGTCGCCGGGCGACGCAGCTGAGCACTGCGAGTGCGACAGCGGCAAGGGAGACGTACATCCAGAGCGAGCCCGTGCGTCCATCGCCGGTCCCTTCGTCGTTGCTGACGGCCGCCGAGCCGTCTCCGACAGAGCCGGGAAGGCCAGCGCGAGGCATCGGCCCGCTGCAATCGACGCCGGCGGAGGCGACCCAGTCCACCCAGGCGGCAGCGTCGATGCCGGGAATTGGGCGCCACCAGCAGTCGCGCGAGGGATCGATCAGGTCGAGAGGGTCGGGGAGGTACATGCGGTGCGGTGGGCGATGAGGGACGTGCGGAGGCCAGTTTAGGTTCCTTGGCCCTTGCCACGTTGCCACGTGGTCAGGTGTGTATGCTTTTTCAGTGAATGTAGCTCTTACGTACCCGAAGGTGAACTGCTGACAGGGTTTGCGATGAGGAGCGATCCGAACGTGGTATTTTTGCTTGGCCGACCTCATGCCGGGGTGTACCGGGGTAGGTCCCCGGCCCTCCCTCGGGTTTCCCTCTCTCTTCACGCCGGAATTTCACAGCAGAATCCAGAAAAAGGACATTTTCCGGTGAAATCACGATGTCAACCCTCCCTGTGGGTGATCTGATGCTTGTTAGGGCTTGAGAGTGGCCTGCCATGTCATAGGAAGGACTGTCTGTGGTTGCAGGAGAGTACCACCATCGCCATCGCTTTGTTATTGGTTACGGTACCCCACCTTCATCGCCGGAGTGATTTCTTTTAAAAGTTTCCCATAAGTAGGTAGGTAGGTATAGGTAGGTAGGCAGGCAGGGTGGGGGCAGGGGCTGGCCGGGGTTTTGCAGAATTTCAGCATGAAAGGTCTCCGGGGCCGTCCCGTTTTGATCTCTCGGTGAGTGGGGGGCCGAGCCGCCTCGGGGTGGCGGGCAGGGGCGGGCGTTTTGAAAAACAGAAAACCAGAAAACAAGTAACAAGAGGGGCCCAGCTAGGGGCCCGGCGGCCCAGGACCCCCACTGGGAGTAGAAAATACGCCCAAGGCTTGCCGCCCAAGGGGGCCAAGGAGGCGGCGCGGGGAAGCAGCATCAGGTGAGAGCAGGAAGGATGGCGCTTAGGGTCGGCTTTGATGTTTGAACAAGGGTTTCCAGGTTTTCGAGATCAGTATTGGTGTCGGCACACATCCCCACATGAGGTCAGCGGCGCGCAGTGCCTCTCTCGCAGGCTGGTTTTGGCTGTTTTCGACCATTTCGAGCTCTTGTTTTTGTTTTCAGACTAGGGGGCCCGACCCCCTCAGAGGCGGCGGGCGGGCGCCCACTCACCGAGAGATCAAAACGCGGGAGACGGCCCGGCCAAAAGCAAAAGGGATACACACCTGACGTGGGGTTGTTCATTTTGTTCAGTCGTACGTGTTTCGCGCTTTTCTAGCACGAGTTCTTTCTTCCTCAGAAAGAACGAGCTCTCGCAAGGCGCGCGATCACAGTTTGCTCGACAAACGATCGCGAAAGGGTGGGGTGTGGGGGGGCGCAGAGGCAGCGTGCCACATGCCACGTGACATCAGAGCGGGCGACTACACCACGTGGGTGCCCCTCGAGTATGCAAAGCACGATTCTCAAGTTGGGCAGCGGTGGAGTGCGAGAGCACGAGGGTGGGCACACCACACGCAGCACTGGACAGGAAAGGGAGAAGAGAGTCATGGACCACCGGGCGCATGGAGTTGCTCCCTCAGATCTCAAAAGTCCTTCTCCGCCGCCCTCTTCTCGAGGGCGATGGCACCCGGGCCGTGCACCGCGAGCAACATCAACCCGCCGGCTACGGACAAGGTCTGGAAGAAGTAGTAGCGCATGTGATCCGCGCGGTAGCTTGGCGCGGACCAGAACGGGTACCAGAAGAGATCGAGCAGCACGAGGCCGCCGGCGAGGAGCAGGGCTGACCACTCAGTCTTGAACCCGACGGCGATTAGGACGGCGGCGGCGATCAGGGCCACCGCGGTCACGGCGGGCAGCAGGCGGGGGGCCTCGATGAGCGAGTGGAGGCCGCCTGAGTTGGACCCCGCGAGGGCCTCAAAGAAGAAGAGGAGGGTCAGCATAAGCCGGCCGAAAAGCTGCAGCTTGTCCGCCGCAAAATTGCTCTGTGGCAGGCCCCACTGGCTGGCCCTTGGCCGCGATGCTAGTTGCTTACTCTGCGCAAAGGTACAGAGCAGGAGGCCGCCCGCCAGCGTGAGTGAGCGGCACAGGAAGTCGATGTTGGTCAGCTCTCCGTACATGAAGGGCTGGACGATGGTGAACGCGAGCAGAGACCAGGTTGCGCGCTTGGCAAGGCCAAGCTTTGCCGAAGGCACGAGCGCGGCGTGGAGCACGACCAGCGATCCAACGGTCTGCACGAGCATTGATAGGAAGAGGAGGGTGGCGCCGAGGTAGTAGCCCAAGTGCATCGTGCTCTGCATGAAGGCCATCTGACCCTCCCACTGCTGCACCACTCGGAGGGAGTCCTCCAGAAACGTCAGCACAAGGAGCGTCGGGCCCGCCGCCTCGAGGAACTCCTGCCGGCGGCGTCGGCCCGAAGGCACGCGGCTGATGAGCGCGCCCTCCAAGTCCATACTGGCCGCCTCCGCCGTGGCGACGGCCGTCTTGAACACCGCGAAGAGTCCGAGCATCATGGTGGCGTGGATGGTTGGGCTTTGGTTGAACAAGTCAAGGATGTGTCTTTGTCCTTCCTTATATATATATTTTTAATGTGATTTTTTGGAAATCGAGCAACATAAGCCGCGAATTGGCCAAGCGGGGGTGCGGCTAGCCTCTTTGGACAGGGTGGCCCGCCGCAGAAAGAAAGAAAGAAAGAAAACAGACCAAACGAGGGATGGGACGAGGACAGGGTCCCCACCTGCACGAGCAGGATTTTGGAAGGACGATCAGGGGGACAGGTGGCCCGCCGCAACGATCCCTGGAATTGTGACTCTGTCTTTTTGTGTGCCTCCACAGACGGTCGATGAGCAGTCGCCTCCGCGTGACGCCCACGGCCGACAAGGAGGAGACCTCCAGCATCTCCAGCACGTCCGACAGCCCCGCCTTTGCCCGCCGTCTGGGGCCGGAGATGCTGCCGCTCATGCTCACCGCCGGCCAGAGCTCCGCGGACCAGACGCCGCAGCTCTCGGGCCGGGCGGTCGCCGTCGGGCTCGCCGTCGGCACCGTGCTCTGCTTCACCAACATGTACTTTGGGCTGCAGACGGGCTGGGTGACGATGGGCTCCATCCAGTCGGCAGTCGTCGGCTTTGCCGTCTTCCGCTTCTGCTGGCCGCGCGGGGGGACGCCGTTCGGGCCGCACGAGAACGTGGTCGTCCAGTCGATTGCGGTCGCCACCGCCACGATGCCCCTGGCGGGCGGCTTCGTCGGCATCGTGCCCGCCCTGCAGATGCTGAGCCCGCCCGTGCGGCTCTCCGTGGCGCAGCAGCTCGCCTGGTGCGGCGGGCTGACCTACTTTGGCATCTTCTTCGCGGTGCCGCTGCGGAGGCAGACGATCCTGGTGGAGCAGCTCCGCTTCCCGTCGGGCACGGCCACCGCCAAGCTGATCGACACGCTGCACACGCGGCACGAGGGCGGCGGGCGGTGGCGCGTGCTCGGCTGGTCGCGCCGCTCCCGCCGCCCGCGCTGGCCCGCCGCCTCTCGGTGCCCCACACTGTCCCGCCCTGGCAAACAGGTCCTTCGGCGCCTCGTACTGCCTCTCGCTGCTCGCGTACTTTGCGCCCGCCTTCGCCAACCTGCGCCCCTTTGACTGGCTCTGCCTGCCCGCCGCCTCAGCGTGGCACTGGACGGTCCGTCCCTCCCTCGTGCGTCATTGCAAGTACAAGTACAAGTTAGTCATTGATGCGCCAGCGATTGGTTCGTAGGTCCGCCCCTCCCTCTCGTACGTCGGCCAAGGGATGATCATGGGGCAGAGGTCCGCGCTCTCGATGCTCGCGGGCGCGCTCACCGCGTGGGCCGTGCTCGGACCGATGGCTGTCTCTCGAGGCTGGGTCGCGGCCACCGCCCGGCCCGCCGGAATGCCTCCCGCCGCCGCCGAGGCCGCGGAGGGCGGATGCGCCGCGCCGCCGCTGCCGGAAGGGGCGATCAACTCGTGGGAGGTTGGGGCGCAGGGGTGGCTGCTCTGGGTCGCGATGGGGCTGATGGTGTCGGAGGCGCTCTCGTCGCTCGCCGTCCTGACGGCGAGACAGTTCCTGATGCTGCCCCCGCCCTCCGCCTCGGCCGCCCAGTCCGGCGCGCCCGGAGGCGGCGAAGGCGAAGCCGAAGAGGGCGGAGGCGGAGGCGGAGGAGGCGGAGGAGGAGGCGGCGGCGGCGGGGCGGCGGCCGAGGACGGCGGCGGCGATCCGCTCGAGGTTGCTCCTCCCTCGCAGCTCGTCCCCGCCCGCTGGTGGCTGGGCGGGCTGGGCGCGTCGGCGCTGCTCTGCGTCGCGATCGTGGCACCGCTCTTTTCGATCCCCGCGTGGCAGCTCCTCGTCTCGATCTGCCTCTCCTGCCTCCTCGCCGTGCTCGGCGTGCGCGCGCTCGGCCAGACCGACCTCGAGCCGGTGAGCGCCCTCGGCAAGCTGTCGCAGATCTAACCCTAACCCTAACCCTAACCCTAACCCTAACCCTAGGTGAGCGCCCTCGGCAAGCTCTCGCAGATCGCGTTTGCCGTCCTCGCCCCGGGCCACCTCGTGACGAACTTGGTCGCCGGCGCCATCGCCGAGGCGGGCGCGATGCAGGCGGGCGACCTGATGCAGGACCTCAAGGCGGGACACCTGCTCGGCGCCTCCCCGCGCGCGCAGTTCTACGCGCAGCTGATTGGCTCCTCCGCCTCGGTGCCGCTCCCGGCGGCCCCCCGCCCCGACAATCGGCGCGTCTCCACGACCGCCCGCGCCGTGTCGGCAGGTGCTCGTCACCGTCGCCGCCTTCAACATGTACACGAGCGCCTACGGCTGCGCCGGCGAGGCGGGGTGGGAGTGCGAGCAGTTCCAGGCGCCCGTGGCGCACGTATGGAAGGACATGGCCGTGCTGATGCAGCAGGGCGTCGCGGCGCTGCCGCCGAGCGCCCTCGCCTTCGCAAAGGCCTTTGCTCTCCTCGGCGTCGCGCTGCCGCTCGCCGAGGCGGCGGCGGGCGAGTCGGCCCTCGGCAGGCTGCTGCCCTCGGGCATCGCTTTTGGGATTGGCATGTACGTCAAGCCCGACTGGACCCTGCCGCGCGTGGCTGGCTCGGTGCTCGAGTGGGCGTGGCGGCGGCGCTCGCCGCGTTCGCACGAGCGGCACATGCTCATGGCCGCGTCCGGCTTCGTGCTCGGCGAGGGCATCGCGTCGATGGTCACCCTCGCCCTCAAGTCCTTGCGCGGGTGACTCGATCGCTAGGATAGCTCGATCGTCGATCCCGGGCGGCCCCCGGCTGTGCCAGCAACGGCCTGTCCGGCCAGATTGTATCTCAGTTTGAAACCAGTTCCTGGAACACCCCCACAAGCCACAAAACGCCAAGAGGTTTTTGCATTATTGCAATAGCTGTTTTTCAGTTAGCCGCAAGCCGGTGTGAGGGGCGCGCCCCATGCGTCAGGGCACAGCACCTGGCGGGGAACCCGCAATTTCCTTTTGAGAGATGCTCAGGGTCAGGCATCTCTGCCCGTTGCCCGTTGCCGCTGCCCGTTGCCCGATACGATTTCCATTCTAATCTCGATTGCCCGTCGGGCTAGTTCCATTTCACTGTGATATTACAAAACCTTGATTGTGACCTCATTTGCGCAAAAAGGTACATGTCGGTGCCTTCCAAGAGGCAGCTGCGACCCCGCCGAGTAGACGGCGGCACACAGCAGGTGGCGCGGTGTGCCGCCGTCTACTCGGCGGTGTCCGCAGCTCCGCAGCTGCCTCTGCGCGTCCTGGGGAGGTACAATAGTGTCGCGCGCCGGAGACGACTCGACGCCGCTGAGATCGGAGATCAAGCTCTGACAGGTCGCACGTCGCTCCTTTGACGCCGACGTGACTCACCCGTGCAGATCACATCAGGACACGGTCTCGACGCGCTCGGTACGACGCCTGCGACCCGTCTCCGGTCAAGTGGCACGACGCTCATCGCGCCTGCCAGCGCTGCCGTGCAGGTTGCCACGACGAGGTCGAGCACGCTTCTATACGCTCGCCCAGCCTTCCTTTCCATCCCATTAGGCAGCCTGGGAACGGTGGCGAGCAGAGGCAAAGCCTACGAGGGGTGATTTTGGTCATCCGTCAAAATATCTGAAGATCCTACTATAGGATTCTCCCCAAACCTTGCTCAGCTGATCCAGCACGGGCCGTAGGCCAGCCCTGGCCAAAGAAACCAGCACCTCATCGGGCTTCCCTGAGCGTCACAGCTCGGTGATCGCGCCGGCCGGACACCACTGTAACGGCCGTTCCGGGCATTTGAACGCGACCTTTGGGGGCAAAGACATGGGCTCTATGGCTCAGACTGGACTCCTCTTGGTCCCTTCTGATGCCCTAGGCCACACCTGGGCCTTACCTGGGGTTCTAGGGGCCGGGCAGGGTTTGCCCCCCGAAAGTGGCCCGAAGGACCTTAAAATTCTTTTCCCGGTAAGGCTCTCGACACGCGGCACGCGGCAGTTGTCAAGAATTCTTTCCAGGACGAGACGTAGATACACTGGAGTCGGGAGTGCAAGAATTTTACAATGGCTCCCTCGCACGACAATGAACTGTATCATCGTCGTCGTCTCTAGCCAGTCACTCAAACTCTCAGAGATTGGCTAAAGAGGATCCGGAGCGCGGTAGGACTCTGGGGCTCTCTCCGAAGGGAGCGTACGTCCCAAGATCGTTTTGGCCGTCACATTGTGACCCCCGACGTCGTCAAATGTCGCCCGCCTGTCCTTCCCCCCATTCTCATCTGGCAATCTCATCTTATTGTCCCATGCATGGGTGTTTAAGGCTGGCTACGGCCACTTCGCTCCACAACCGTCCCGCCACCCCTGCCGTGTGCGATCCCGGCCTCACCGTCTTTCGGTAATGCTCGCACACCCACTCGTGCGCGCTCTTACACATGTGTCCGTACGACCGTCCAGCGCGCTGCGCGCGCCGTCCAGCCAAGCAAGCACAAATACTTTTCCCGGTGTGTGAAGTGTGATAGATAGAGGAGCGCGGACGGCCCGGGGAGCCTGCGGCGCCATTTTAATCTGCGCTCCTCTTTATGGCCTGCGGCGCCTGGCTTGAGCTCGGAAGTGTAAACATGTCCGCCAGGGCGGTCTGCAAAGAAAGAAAGAAAACAGACAACCCAAGGGCGGTCTGCCTACCTCTCCGAACACCAGGACGAAATACTTTTCGTGGACGCCTAGGCACGAGTACGAGCCCGCGCGGCGAGAGCTGTCACGTGCTCTCACGCGCTCTCACGCCGCGCCTCTGCTCGCAACCATAGGCGCTCTCGGTAGCCCGCAGAGGCGCCGGCACGCAGCGCGCGGAGGCGGACACTCCGTCTCGCACTCGCCATGGTGGACGTCGCGCTTCAGCAGATGGAGGCCATGCTGCGGGCTCTGATGAGCACAGACAACGCCGTGCGCAACCAGGCGGAGGAGGCGCTCGCGCAGGCCCGGCAGGCGCCGGACTCGCTTTTTAGTGCGCTCATCGCCATGCTGCGCAGCAACCAGGACGAGCAGGTGCGTTTTGTGCCCCGCTGCGCAAGCCTCTGCGCAGGCCGGCAGGCGCCCACCACGCGCGCGCGCGCGTGGTAGGTGCGCTCGCTCGCGGCGGTGCTGCTGCGCAAGGAGATCATCCGGCTGCTGGCGCAGTCGGCCGACGCGCAGGGAGTGACCGTCTCGACGCAGGTCAAGGCGCTGCTCAAGAGCGAGCTCCTCGCCTGCATCGAGCAGGAGCCGCAGCGGTCCATCCGGAAAAAGGCGTCGGATGTGGTGGGGCAGCTGGCCATCAACATCATGAGCAACGACCCGTCCGGCTGGCCCGAGCTCTTCCCGTGGATGCTCGAGGGCACCCGCTCGACCAACGTGCCGCTGCACGAGGTGGCGCTGCGCCCCGCCCGGCCGCGGCGCACGGAGGCACTGCCTGAGCGTCGCCGGACCCTCTCCTCGCAGGCGGCGCTCGCCATCTTCAACACGCTGTCCGAGTTCATCGCCGAGAAGATGGCCGCGCACCACGGCATGCTCCTCGACGTCTTCCGCTCCTCGCTGCAGGCGCAGCAGGAGCTGTCCGTCCGCAACGCGGCGCTGCGCGCGCTCGCCTCCTTTCTGATGGCGCTCTCGGAGCCGTCACAGCGGGTGCCGTTCCAGGAGCTGGTGCCGCTGATGCTGCAGACCATCTCGGACGCGCTCGCGCGCGGCATGGAGGACGAGTGCCGCGAGGCGCTCGAGGTCTTCGTCGAGGTTGCCGAGTCGCAGACCAAGTTTCTGAAGAGGCACCTTGCCGAGTGCGTCACCGGCGCGCTCGCACCCCGCCGGCCGCTCGCGTGCGTCGACGGCTCGGCCGTGACGCGGCCGTGACACGCCCCGTAGGCATGATCGCGATCGCCTCCAACACGTCGCTCGACGACTCGCTGCGCCACCTCGCGCTCGAGTTTCTGCTGACGATCGCCGAGGGCGCGCCGACGCTCGCGCGCAAGATGCCTCGCTTCTGCGCCGACACGGTGCCGGTCGCGCTGGCGATGATGCTCGAGCTGGAGTGCGACACGGCGCAGGAGCTGCAGGAGTGGGAGGACGAGGACGAGGACGAGGAGGACACCGAGGTGACCAACTACGACGTTGGCGAGGAGGCGCTCGACCGGCTCGCCATCGCGCTCGGCGGAAAGGCGATGATGCCCGTCCTCTTCGGAATCATCCAGGAGTGGTTCCCGTCGGACGACTGGAAGAAGCGGCACGCTGCGCTCATGGCCATCTCCCAGTCGGGCGAGGGCTGCGAGGCCCAGATGGCCAAGCAGCTCGAGCCCATCGTCACCACCATCGTCACCCGCTTCGGCGACGCCCACCCGCGCGTCCGCTGGGCGGCCATCAACACCATCGGCCAGATGTCGACCGACTTTGGGCCGCAGCTGCAGGCCAAGCTGCACTCGTGCGTCCTCCCCGCCCTCGTCTCGGCGATGGACGACGGCTGCAAGCGCGTCAAGGCCCACGCGGCCGCCGCCGTCATCAACTTTTGCGAGCACTGCGAGCGCAAGACGCTGCGGCCGTACCTGCAGGGGCTGCTCGGCAAGCTGATGCAGCTGCTCTCGACCAACCAGCGGCGGGTGCAGGAGCAGGCGGTGACGGCGGTGGCGTCGGTGGCGGACGTGGCGGAGCAGGACTTCGTCCCCTTCTACGACGCCTTCATCCCCGGCCTCAAGGAGCTGCTGCGCAACTCTGGCGGCAAGGAGTACCGCATGCTGCGCGGCAAGGCGATGGAGTGCATCTCGCTGATCGGCGTCGCCGTCGGCAAGGACAAGTTCGGCCCCGACGCCAAGGACGTGATGGAGCTGCTCATCAAGACGCAGCAGGGCGCCGAGCTCGACACGGACGACCCGCAGGTCTCCTTCATGCTGCAAGCCTGCGCGCGCATCTGCAAGTGCCTCGGCGAGCACTTCCAGCCGTACCTGCCGTTCGTCATCCCGCCGCTGCTCGCGTCGGCGCAGCTCGACCCCGAGCTGCACGTGACGGACGTGGACGACGAGGACGGCGACCAGGAGGACGAGGAGGGGATGGAGAGCGTGACGGTCAACATCCGCGGGCAGGGCAACAAGCGGATCACCATCCGCACCTCTGCGCTCGAGGAGAAGGCGACGGCGTGCAGCATGCTGCACTCGTACGTGGCCGACCTCAAGGAGGCCTTCTTCCCGTACGTGCAGGAGGTGGCCACCATCCTAGTGCCGCTGATCAAGTTCCAGTACATGGACGAGGTGCGCACCGCCGCGATGATGGCGATGCCCGAGCTGCTCGACTCGTGCATCCTCGCCCTCGCTAAGGGGGCGAGCGGCGCGTCGGCGGCGCTGGTCAGCCAGCTGCTCTGCTTCATGCTCGAGCCGATCCTGGAGCAGCTCAAGGCGGAGCCGGACGTGGAGACGCTCGCCTGCCAGCTCGAGGCCTTCGGGGAGCTGCTCGCGCACGGCGGCAGCTGCGAGCACGCCAAGCTCAGCGCGGATCAGATCCAGAAGAGCACAGAGGTGCTGCAGATGCTGATGCGCGAGTCCAACGAGCGGCGGGACGAGAGGGAGGGGCGGCGGGGCGACGAGGACGTGGACGACGAGGAGGAGGAGCAGCTGGAGGGGGAGGCGGAGCGCGAGGAGATTGTGATGCAGTCGCTGGTCGAGGCGGCGGGGAAGCTCTTCGAGGTGTACCAGTCGGGCTACCTGCCCTACTTTGACTCGCTGCTGATGCCGACCGTGTCCGAGATGCTGCAGCCCACCGCGATCGCCTCCTCGCGCGCCGCCGCCCTCTGCCTCTTTGACGACGTGATTGAGCACTGCTCCGCCGACGGCGGCTCGAGCCGCTACATCGCCGGCATCTTCCCCGCGCTGCTGCAGTACATGGGCGACGAGACGACCGAGGTGCGGCAGGCGGCGGCGTACGGCATCGCGATGCTCGGCGAGCGGTGCAACGACGCCACCTTCACCGAGGCGATGATGCAGCAGGCGGCGCAGGCGCTGGTCCTCGCGGTGGACGCGCCGGGCGCGTGGGAGGAGGAGCACGCTTCGGCGTCGGACAACGCCATTTCTGCGCTCGGCAAGATTTGCAAGCGCTCCGACGCCATCGGCGCGGTGGGCTGGCCGCGCTGGCTCGAGGCGCTGCCGCTGCGCGCCGACCGGGAGGAGGCGCGGCACGTGCACGCGACGCTGTGCGAGCAAGTCGAAAAGTCGAACACGCAGCTCCTCGGCGCGAACCACGAGCGGCTGCCTGACGTGATCTGTGTCTTTGGCCGGCTGCTCGGCACCGACCTGATCGCCGACGAGTACCTGCCGCGGATCGGGCACCTCCTCAAGCAGGCGCGGACGCGGACGCGGCCTGGCCCCTCCCGGTCGGCCGCACCCCCTCACCCTCCCTCTCCGCCTCTCGCCGCGCAGGTGCACAGCGGGCTGCCGCAGGTGCTCCAGCAGCTGCCGTCGCACCCCAAATTCGCGCTCCTGTCCGAGGAGAACCGCGCTGAGCTGGAGAAGGCCCTCTCGAGCTGAGCGCGCTCCGTCTTGCGAGCACCGTGGGTCACACTCCTCTGTAAGGCCAACCTTGAGGTGCGTCACACACTCTCAGTGCCGCCACGCGCCTGGCCTCGAGGCTCTCGCCAGCCACCATGCCACGCGCACCGCCGTCCGTGCGCGTGAACACATTCGTCGAGCTTTAAAGTTTTGTGTGTACGTCACTCCTAACTGGAAACTGCTTCCACCGGTGTTCACCGCACGATATACCGCTCGCGCGCAGAGTCCAGAGAGAGAGGCCCGGGTCTGCCTCCGCAGACAGAGCCCCGCGCTGTCGCTCAGGGACGGGAGAGGCCAGAGAAGGGAAAGATGCACACCTCCCGCTCCCCGGGAAGGAACCGCTGACTGGGGCACTTGGAGCACTTGCTAAGGGATCCAACCTAGCGCCCGGTTTGGTGTGGTGACCTACATTTGTCATTTCGCCGGGTCGAAGGTGCTAAAGCCGTACACGCGCTAGGCGCTACACACTGCCAGATTCACTGCACACACTTCGAACACACACCCCTGTCGCCCCTGTGGGCTGTGGCGATCTGGCAGTGTGGGCCACTGGGCGCTCAATTTTTGTTTGGGGGAATGGAGTCCCGTGACGAAAAACGAACACACACCACAAGCGCTAAGCGTGAGGACACGATTTCGAATTCGTAGGAGCATCTGAGCAAGATTGAGCCCGCTCAGGTGTGAACAAAAGATATAAGGGTCGACCAGGTTTCGAACTGGGGACCTCCCGCCAGCGGAAGGCTTTCAGCAAGATACGCTGGGGTTGAGGAGGTCTCACTCTCAGCTCGGGAAACCTATGTAGCATACCGGAGGAATTAGACACCACAGATACGCACACACCGACGCCCGAAGTGCCAAGAAGGACGTCTTTAGTACGAAACCTCAGAAGGCCATGGGCGCCGAGAGAACATTCCCCCGAGAGGACAAAAGAAAGTCGACGCACCCCCTCCTTGCGCAGTGTCCCCCGCTATGTGTCGCCGTAATCGGGGCACGCTATCCTGTGCAGTCAGGGCAAGCGGGGGCGAGGCGCAGTCCCTCTGGTCTATACTGGTGTGGTTCTGTCCCTAGAGCCTAGTCTCGGAGGGGGGCAAAAAGATAAGAATATCTAATTTTTGTTTGGGGGAATGGAGCCTCGGGTGTTTCTTTTTACAGAGGAAGAAAGTGGAGACTCAAACCACTTCGATCGGATCAAGCACAGACCACAGTATCCTGCCAAGGAGGGGGGAAGGAGGAGTAGAGGGCGCCAGCGCACAAGGAGTGCGGTTATCAACCTCACATGCAGAAATTTCGGCGGGCGCCCCCAGTGACCGCCCCCTGGAGAGGGGCCGTTGACACTGCGTGGCGTCTCGGCTGCAACTCGTGCTCCCATTGCACAGCGGCGCCGCAGAGCCGCGCCCGCCCCGGCGTTCACTCGCTATCGCCGCCATGGCTGTGATATTCGGTGTGCAGCGTGCCTTGGTCTGGCAGCGGCCTCCCTCTGCTGTCGCGGCCCCAGCCGTCGGGCTCAGCGCGACGGCACTGACCAGTGTCATCGAGCTAGTACAGCTCGACGCTCGCAGCCTCTGGCATGCCTGCAGAGAGAGGACGGCGAGCGAGGCGCTCGCGCTGGTGGCCGAAAGCGCGCGCCACAGAGCGCCATTGATGCTGTGGGCGGTGTCCTTCTCCTCTGACGTCATTCTCCTCAGGCTGCGAGAGTGCCTCGGCTCGGCCGCTCCGCTGCTCCTGCCGTCGCCGCCCTTCGAGGAGCGGCTGAGCGTACACCGTCGCGAGCTGCAGCCCGCGCTGCTAGCCCTGCGGCCTGCGCTCCGCCAGCGACTGACAGCGGCGGTCCGAGAACGACCGTCCCGCTGCGTCGGGATCGCCACGAATCTGCTGCAGTCCGCCATCTACCGTTTGCACTGGAAGGTCAACGCGGTGGGCCACGCCGTCGGGCTGCGTGGCGCGGAGCGCTTTGAGCGAGCGCGCGCACGCCTCGTCGAGCGGTGGATTCGGCTGGTGGTCCGCTTGCACCACCGCCTGCCGCTCGGCTCCGTCTCCTCCGAGGCCGAGTGGGAGGCGTCGGCGGCGTCGGGGCGTGAGGCGAGACTCAGGGGTGGGGCCCTCTCAAAGGTGATACGCAGCAGCCTTCGCCGTGCTTGGCGCGGCGCGAGAGGCCTCGCAAGCCGGGTGCGCGAGTTTGTTGAAGGCCTTGACCTATGCTCCGCGTTCAAGAAGGCGCGTTCGCCGGCTCGATGTCTCGCAGCGCTGCACGCTGTCCTCGCGAGGTGGTGGAGAGACCCGCGCCGCAGCCGCCACCCGCAGCTAGAGGCTACATCATGATGCGATGCTCTCCACTCAGAGGGATGGCGAGTGCTCGATGGCGCAGATCGATCGCACGATTGCTTATGGTTTTGCCTTGTTCCGCTTCACCGGCTGTGCGGGATTATCTGCGTTACACACGGCGACGTCCACCATGGCTGCTGGCGAGTGCGAGAGAAGAAATGCAATCGTTAGTATTGTGTGAGACAGCGCGCAGCGCGCTCGCGGCGCTCGTCCTACTTCTCGCGTCCGCTCACAGCACACCGCGGCCGAGCTCTCTTGTACCGCGCACTAATCCCGACCCCCGGTTTTTTCGCTCAGGTTTTCAAACTTGTTCTATCATAGTTAGCTGCTAAGTGAGAGCAAGTGGCACATCGCGTTCTCACCACGGTCGCCGCTCATGGCGCGGCGCGCCTGCGCAACGCGGCCCCGAGAGGGGCCGCCTGGCCACCGCTGCCACTGCGCCGCACGGATTTCACCCCACTTTCGCGACTGTGGCCGTCCAACAGTCTGCCGGCGCGGCGGGCGCATTCGAATGCGCCCGCTGCGCCGGCAGACTGTCAGTGCTATCCCGGGCGGCGCGCCAGCGAGCCCGGACGCTGGTCAGCCGCGAGGACAGCGCCATCGTCATCGGCGTCTCCTGCAGCAACTTCAACAGCACAAGGTAGCCGGGTCGGAGGCCTCCCGCCGAGCTGCCGAGCCACCCCGCACCCGCGCCACCCTGCCTCAGGGAGTCAGTTGAGAGGGTGCGCAAAACCTTACCAAAACTGGCACGGGTCACGCGCCGCTCGGGAGCCGCGGCGCAGCCTCCAGAGACTGCAACGACAGCGAGCATACGCGCACGCGACTAAGCAGCAACTCGAGGGGTTTCCTCAATCAACCGAACGCACTAGGCTGGCGAAAAAACCGGGGCGCGGGATTAGTGCGGTAACAAGTTGACGTTGTACTCTCGGTGGCCCTACTCTCTTTATATAGAGAGAGACCGGCAGACCGCGGACCGCTTCCCTCGCCGAGCTGCTCTGGGACGCCGACCCCTGCGCGCACCGCTCATCTTGGCCCTCCTGGGGTTACTCTCGCGCTCGCGCAGGACCCGGGGGACTCCCTTCCCCCCACCTCCGACGGGTTAGGTCGGTGCTGCGCCCCTTGGCGCCTGTGCATATCGCGTGCCCGCCCGCCAAGGCTGGTGCCAAGGCCAAATCCAACCGCCAAGGCTGGTGCCAAGGCCAAATCAACCGCCTGGCTGGTGCCAAGGCTCACAGGCTCTCCTCTCTCACTCTCTCCTCCTGCTCCTCCCTCTCCACTACCCCAGTGTCGTGCGAGGGAATTTTTTGTAAAATTCTTCTTTCGGTGGCTTGTATTTTAAGAGTTCTTTCGGTCCCCTCGACACGTACGTCCACAGGTTCCCCTCGTGTGATTTTTTGCGTCTCGTGTGAGTGAGGGAACCGTGACACCACCACGGGATAAACAGCCCTGCCCAAGCGTCTCGTGTGATTTTTTGCGAAGTGAGGGCTTCCCAACGTGTGGGGGCAGTGTGCACAACACCATGGGCCACCACTGTGGATCATGTGCGTGCCAGTCTGTTCCACCATCGTGGCGCGGGCCTGCTAGATGTGCATACGCCCTTGCCTCGGGGTTACAGTCGGTGTGCGTGTCGCGCAAGTATGTATCTGACTCCACACAAATCCGAGACGGTGATGGATGCGTCGTACGATGGTCTCATGCCCAGTGAGGTAGTGCATCTGGCCACTCCGGATCCTGCTGAACAAGTTCCTCTTGTAGCTCGATCGTACACCCGTGACGAAAAACGGACGCACACCAAGCGCTAAGCGTGAGGACGCGATTTCGAATTCGGAGGTGCATCTGAGCAAAATTGGGCCCGCTCAGATGTGAAAAAATTATAAGGGTCATAGTCGCCGATTCGATCCGGAAGCCACTCGACCATCGAGAGGCCGACGGCCGAAGTCGGCAAACGTAGATCAAATGGTTAGAGATAGCGTCCACTCAGCGACCGATACCCGTAACACATTACCGAGGGAAATAGACACCACAGATACGCACAACCGACGCCCGAAGTGCCAAGAAGGACGTCATTAGTACGAAACCTCAGAAAAGGCCATGGGCGTCGAGAGAACATTCCCTCGAGAGGACAAAGAAAGGCGACGCACCCCCTCCTTGCGCAGTGTCCCCCGCTATGTGTCGCCAATTGGGGCACGCTATCCTGTGCAGTCAGGGCAAGCGGGGGCGGGGGGCAGTCCCCCTGGTCTGATACTGGGGTGTGGGTGTCTCCAGTCTCGGAGGGGGGCAAAAAGATAAGAATATCTAATTTTCTTGTAGCTCGATCGGTCACACCGCCATCGCCGTCGGGGAGAGGGGGGACGACACTGGTCACTGCCTTGGCAGCGTGCACCTCGATCCTGTACCGTGTTTGTTATGACCCCCCCCAATGAACACACCAGTGAGGGAGGGCGAGACGATCGAGTCCAACGTGTGTGTGCGTGATGCGCGCGGCAAAGGTGGCCCCATGGTGGCAGCGCGATATTAATGTTACGCGATTGTACCCAATTTTATCTTGATCGAAAGGTCCGCGGGCCTGCGCTAGACCTATGCGGGAGAAATCCGGAGACGGTTCAGTGCTGGCACCGCCTGGCGCTTTGTGTATCTCGAGACCTCGAGAGAAGGCCGCCGGCAGCCTCCCGGACGGGCGCTCCAAATTGACGTCTGGTAAAATGTGACCCGAGCCACCCGGTGCCCCGCAGCGGCCTCGCTGGACCAGAAGAACCGGTCCGCGAGTGCTCCGCAGCAACCTCGCTGAGCCAGAACGTCGGCTCGTGGGGGTGCTAGTATGAGCCCGACCGATACGTCGCAGTGTTCTTGCTCCCAGCGCTTGCGCTTCGGCGGTTAGTGGTGCACTAACCTCCGAGAAACCCTTCGGGTCGCTCCTCGTCGCAAACCCTGTCAGCAGAGTCCTCCTACGGGAATCTACGTAAAAGTCCACTGAAACTTCTTTGGTCAAAAAACTTTTGGGTCGGCCCTTTATAAGATAGTCGCTGTCCGATGCTGGGCAGCAGAGCCGGTCGGGAAGCGCCCCTCCTTGCTTTGCTGCAGCTCGTAGGAGGGGTGTCTGGCTCGTGCAATCCCTTCTGTGAGAAGAAGACCGACCCGTGGGAGTCGCTCTGCACCTGGAATGGCTGCGACGGTTGCAGCGAATGCTACGTCCCGCCAGCGCCTGCAAGCCGACCACAATGCCAGGGCTTCTGTGAAGCAAAGACGCAACCCTGGGACAACCGATGCAGCTGGGCGGGCTGCGGCGGCTGCACCGAGTGCGGCGCCGAGTCCGAGTGCAAGCCATTCTGTGAGGACAAGACGCAGGCATGGGATGACAAGTGCACCTGGGAGGGCTGCAAGGGCTGCATCGAGTGCTCTCTCCCTGCGCCGGCGTGCAAGCCGTATTGTGAGGACAAAACACAGGCCTGGGGTGACAAGTGCACCTGGCAGGGCTGCAACGGCTGCTCCGAGTGCGGCGCCGAGTCCGAGTGCAAGCCGTTCTGTGAGACCAAGACGCAACCTTGGTCGGTAAAGTGCTCATGGAACGGCTGCTCGGCCTGCGGGGACGTGTGCAATGCGTGCAAGCCCTACTGTGCGGTCAAGACGGACCGGTGGGATATGCTCTGCAGCTGGAACGGCTGCTCTAGCTGCACCGAGTGCTCCGTGTCCCCGCCGCCATCGATGCCGCCCCCGTCACCGCCGCCACCGACGCCACCACCGCCCTCTAAGCCACCCTCCACCCCCCCCTCTCAGCCACCGTCCACGCCACCCTCCAAGCCGCCCGCTGAGCCACCACCTACGCCACCCTCCACGCCACCCGTCGTTCCGCCCTCCACCCCGCCCTCCACCCCACCCTCCGCACCGCCGTCTGTGCCACCTTCCACACCGCCTCCGACAAAGTTGCCCTCCCCGACGCCCCCTTTCGCTCTCCAGGCCCCGAGGACCATTCTCTAGGTCTCCTCTTCCGCCATTCCTGCTTGAGCT